TGGGTATGGAGCCAGCACCATGGAGTCGCCATGGGCTTCCCCATTTGGGCCTTTCTCCTGTCCCTTGGGCCATGGCTGGTGGAAGCGGAGGAACCGGAGTTGGATGTGATGTACCTGCGATACTAGCAGCAGCCCATTGACACCAGCCCGGTGTTTAACCGCAACTGCTTGGGGATTTGGAGGTTTCGATTTGTGATGCTTTTATGTTTCATGGCTTTCATCCCAAAAAATGAAGGTTCCGAGATTACTAATTGTCCTACAATTTTCTGATGTTGGAATGGGGTTGAGACCGCCAAAAACAAGATAGAACAAGGCAAATACGTGGAGTACAATGCCACTATGGACTACAAGATGATAAGATGGGTTTCTTCGCAGTGCAGGCAAGTCCCTTGGGCACGGCCGTCATCACCAACATCTTCCTGTGCCCCGATGCGGATTGCCATCGCGAGACGCCACGCGCCATCGGGGATTCTTCGCGTAAGGTCTCCCTGGAACCGGGGGAAGGGACCCTCTACAAGTTCGATGTGGAGCTGCTTGGTAGGGCTAGAACCTACTCCATTACCGTCACTAGACTTACTGGAAAGGAGACAGACTTGAGGCATTTGGTGGTACAAGGCGCGGGTTGAAGGACCAGACCATTCCAAATCTGTTTGATATATATATATATATTCATATGTGTATATATATATAAAATTAATATATATATATGTTTTTTCTTCAATCTGGACTCAGACGTATCAACGCTGAAGAAGTTTCTCAATGTCCTTGTCCTGGATATTTCCCAAACCATCGCCAGTGGTACCTAAACCTCACAGCCCCAGGGCACCAATGGGGATCATCATTGGTGACAACCTGCCAGGTGTCAAACAACCGGGGGTTTCCAAAACTGGAGGATCCCCAACTTACCATGGGTTTCAATACGAAGTCATGGTCTAAAGACGACCTGGATGATTTGGGTGCACCTCCATTTTGTTGGCTTTGCTTACTTGCTTTCTGGCTTACTTAACTTCACGTTGCTTTGGATGACTTTACTTTAGCTTACTTAAGTTAGTTTAATGTAACTCTTACTTACTTTACTTGCTTTACATTGACTTACTTTACTGTTACTTGTTACTCTTACCTCTTACGTTTTACCTTTGCTTTTGCCTCTATTTTACCTTTACTTACTTTCCTTTTTCTTACTTTACTCTACTTTACTTTGCTCTACTCTGCTCTGCTCTGCTTTGCTCTACGTTACCTTACTTTCTTACTTGCTGATGAACTCACTCTCCCTCTCCCTCTCCCTCTCCCTCTCGCTCTCACACTCACACTCACACTCACACTGACACTCACACTCACACCCTCACTCTCACTCTTTCACTCTTTCACTCTTTCACTCTTTCACCCTCTTACTCTCTCACTCTCTCACTCTCTCACTCTCTCACTCTCTCACTCTCTCACTCTCTCACTCTCTCACTCACTCGCTCGCTCACTCACTCACTCGCTCACTCGCTCACTCGCTCGCTCACTCACTCACACAGGCTGACTGACTGACTGACCGACTGACTGGACCTGACCTGACCTGACTTACATACTTACTGATCTACATACGTTCTTACTTTCTTACTTATTTACTTTCTTACTTGCCTACTTATTCACTTACTTACTTCCAGACGCACTTGCACACGCACACACACACACACCCACCCGCGCATCTATGTATAGTTAGAACTCACGTTGAGTTGCTACAACTGTGTGAAATTAGGTGTTGTGTTGGAAGTTGACCAGCAGCAGAGAACATTTTACTGTAGCAGAACCAGGAGATTGATATTGATGGTGATTTCAGTGATAACCAGCTGGGGTTTCACCCATAAACCAAGAAGTGGGGAGCAGAGAAATCAAATCAGAGGATTTGGCCCAAAATGGGTACACTACGATGCAAAAACATGCATCATGTAGGGCTAGGGCTGGTAAAACTATATGGGTCTTGGGCAAGTATCACCAGCAAACAATGGCCTTTTGCTGACAACAGTGGAGCTGACTGGCACGGGGATCCCACTTGGTGATTTTCCCACCACACTGCTTTATTGGTTCACCAGAACCCGCAGCCCCAAGGCGCCTGTCCCCTTGGCCTCGGATGATAACATCGCCAGCTTCGAATTTCCGGTGCCCATGGGAACCAATCGAAAACTACGCTTCAAGGTGGTGTCCTCGGATGGCGGGCACTTTGGGTTCTACCAATTGGATCTGACGCGCCAAGAATGTAATACTGAGATGCCGTTCTTTGACGTGTGCTCCGGGCGTTGCGTGCGCTTCTGCAACTTAGGCTATTGGGCCGACTTTGCCCAGAGCCGCTGCAAGCGCTGCCCAGACCTCTGCGTCAGCTGCGTCAGTGGGCAGAAATGCCTCAGTTGCCGACATCCCACCGTCGAGGTGGACTACCTGTTGGACCCCGAAACCGGTCGATGCACCGCCAAGTTGCGGCCCTTTTGGCAAAAAAAAAGCCAAGCCGCCAAGCAAAACATTTCGATTGCCCTGCGCTGCCGGTGCTGTTGTTCCTCTGTGGCTTGCTGGCCTGTGCCGTAGCCAGGCGTGCCAAGAGGCGGAAGGCCGTAGTGCCAAGGCGAGGAGCCGAGTGGAAATGGGGAAGTACAGCCAACTGCCCAATGAAGAGTTGGAGCTGTTGGATTTTTGAGCTCTTCCGGCCCTTCTTGGCCGGCTGCACCTGGATCGGCCAAAGTGCTGAGGTCCAACTCAACTGAGCCACTGCGGGAAAGGGTGGAGGTTAAAACTCCTTGATTTCTGAATTGCGTTTCCAGTTGAAGGTGGGGATGCAACAAGATTCGTGCCAGCTCATCCCAGCATATGCCCCGGCGCCTGCCAGCTCAGGCATTGATTCGGGATTGGATTCTCTAGAGGATGCCCCTGCACCCAAGGCAAGAGGGTGGATTGGTGTCTTCGGTAGTCAGCGGTAGGCCTTTGCTGGAGGGATATGAATATGCTATACTAAAATCATTTGGAAGCCTCCAAATCTTGGAAGATGGTTAGTTCAAAGCTGGGTAAAAACTGTTAGAACAAACCCAGACATGTCTACAGCAGCCGTTTGTTGGGAAATTGTGCGTCACTTTTCTGCAGAGGGTGTATCCTTGAACCACTGAGCACGGCCTCGCCAGTGTGCAGGAGCGAGATGAAGGCGGCGTTTCAGCGGGCCTTCGGGAAGTGCACTGTTTCAGTCCTTGGAAACGGGGTGGCGTTGATACCCAAAGATGTTTTCCTGCACGTGTTGCACATACACTGTACAAATGCCTAGTTGCATCGTATTGCACAGATGGAAGCAGTCCGGAGCGAGTTAGCCATTGGAAGATATGCCCCCAACATGTTCAGCACCCTCCTCCAGTCAGTAGATCTGTAAATGCATATTATCATTGTCATATTTGGTTACTATTGCGTTCATTTCGGGGTTTTATCCATTTACCACTCCTGTTAGTGTGATTATTGTCATTGTCATTGTCATTGTCATATGGTCATGGTCATGGTCATCGTCATTGTCATTGTCATTGCAGTTATGATGATGATGATGATGATGACGATGACGATGACGATGACAACAATGACGATGACAATGACGATGATGATGATGATGATGATGATGCTGCTGATGATGATGATGATGATTTTGATGATCACGACGATGGCGATGACGATGACGATGACGATGATGATGATGATGCTGCTGATGATGATTATGATGATGATGATGATGATGATGATGCTGCTGCTGATGATGATGACGACGATGACGATGCCGATGGCAATGACAACAATGACGATGATGATGATGATGATGATGATGATGATGACGATGCCGATGAGGATGACAACAATGACGATGATGACGATGATGATGATGATGATGATGGTGACGATGCCGATGACGATGACAACAATGATGATGATGTTGATGATGATGTTGATGATGATGATGATGGCGATGCCGATGACGTTGACAACAATGGCGACGATGATGATGATGATGATGATGATGATGATGATGGCGATGCCGATGACGTTGACAACAATGGCGACGACGATGATGATGATGATGACGATGCCGATGAGGATGACAACAATGACGATGATGACGATGATGATGATTATGATGATGATGATGATGATGGTGACGATGCCGATGACGATGACAACAATGACGATGATGATGATGATGATGATGTTGATGATGATGATGATGATGATGGCGATGCCGATGACGTTGACAACAATGGCGACGACGATGATGATGATGATGATGATGATGGCGATGCCGATGACGTTGACAACAATGGCGACGACGACGATGATGATGATGATGATGACGATGCCGATGACGATGACGATGACAACAATGACGATGATGATGATGATGATGATAATGATGACGACGACGACGACGACGATGACGATGCTGATGATGATGCTTTTTGTCGATGTTGCCACTATTGACGATCAACGTCAGAACCCCCCAGCCCTTGGTGGTGGCCTTGTCAGGCAACGAGTGGTACAGACCAGAGCCAGAGCCAGGATTCCCAGCATCGGAGGGGTGACCTGGGCAGTGGTTGAAATGCTATTGAAAAAAGAGTCATGACAACAACCTATCAAATAAATTCAAATAATACCCTCCCGTAAACTGACATAGATGATCATAGATGTGGTGTTTACCCACTATATATTTGTAAATCATTTTCCGAGCGGGAAACCAGCCAGGTTTTGCACATCTGTACGTTTAGCCCAGGGTAAAACTCGGAATTTTATATAGAATGATGGGATAGATTGGGATAGTGGGAATTTTCCATGGCCTAAGTCCACTCTTCCCATCATCCCCACATGGAACATCTCAGCTCCAAGGCCCCGGCCCTTGGGACGCATCTGGCGGTGCAAGGGCGTGGAAGATCCCTTCAAAAGCTGCTCCACACGGGGGGTTCCCTTGCAGGCCGTGGATGCTGTGGCCGTTGCTGAAAACGAATTGGGCGACCGATGCTGGGAATGTGAGCAATTTGGTGAGTGTTTACGAAATGTCACCCCTGGATTGATAAAGCCTGATGATTTTTTTCCGGGTTGAAGTTGCCCTGGAATGTCATGGAATGTCCACATAGACTGGATTTCATCTTTTTTTGACCGTAACCAACCATATGAATGTGTCACTCCATACGTGGCACTCTACCATGGCTTGCTTTTTGTCAGAAATTATGAAGTCGCAATTGCCCACTCTTTAAAGCTACCACCACGCCTGCTAGCCTAATGAGATTCTCACACACACAGAAATGGTAACAATCATGCAACACTCATGTCAGATTCAAATAACATGCCAGATACATGTAATGCCTAGATAAGAAGTAAGACTTGCATAAGTACATTGTACATACATTATCAATCAAATACTGTTTTAGAGGCATTAGGTCATTTAGAAATCTATAATCTGTCATTTTCAGCAATCTACGCACCTTCATCTCATGACCTTTGTGGGATACATCTCCTCATTTGAAGGATTTCATCCATTTTCAAGCCTACTTGGATGATCCCCATGGCCATCCAACAGGGTTTTCATCCATGGAAACCTCCTCCGTCACAGGTGAGCATTCCCCACGACATCCAAGTTCCCAACGACGCCACGCACTTGGCGGTTGCAGCTGAGAACGAGGATGGGGGGATGGGGACCATTGGACGGTGACAATTTGAGGGATCTTAACACATCCTAAGCACCACAGATGATTGGTATATCACATTCTATCACGGAGACATTTTTTCAAAATCACAGTATGCAACGTGTTTTTTTTCTTTTTTGGGGCTGGGGGGGTTGAAATATGGAGACTTAACCCACAACCACGGGGAGGCTTGTTATCAACCATCTTGGTGGGTGGTTCCAGTATCATCATCATATATATATTACATACGTATATATATATACACAGGGGATCTTGGCATAGACGATGATCAAATACTCATTACTTTCACCGGGTGCTGCAACCCTCAGACTCCCCATGTTCCAACTCATTTCTCCACTCTCCTTGCCCACCATTTCAGCACCTTTCCGTTGCGGTGCCCTTTTTGAGCTGGCCTGAATTCACTGCTGAAGCCTCCCATTGTCCACCAATATCGCCTTTGACCTATTTTAGGAGATTTTTTTTACACTCATTCTATCTTCATTTCACTATGGTCCGAACTCACTCAAACAATACTCCTCCACCAGTATGAAGCAGTGGTACAATACAACGAGATACATCCACCTCCTACTTCCTGTAGCTGAAAACAGGGAACGCTGGAAGCTTTTAACCCCAAAAGTGAAATAGGCAACCAAGCTTAGGGATTGCTGCTGCGGACGTGTAGTTCAATGTGAACTGCATATCGCTTGTATGGTCCAAGGGAACATTTGTAGGACACCTCACTATATTTGAGGGGGAAAACCCATGGTTTCCTGCAGGTTTTCCCTTCCTCCAATCCAGCCCCGGCAAAAAAATCCAGTCACACACGGCTCTTCGTCCTTGCATTCTTCCCTGGCTGCCCTAGTCTCTTGTGGCACAGGTTGGAGAGAGCCAGAAGCTCACCGCAGTGAACCTGAACGGCGATCAGGAGGTGTGGAGCACAACTATACATACACATATGCCTATACATACGCCAATTTAAATATAAAATTTCATGTGATATACATGAATTGTCGTATATAATCATATGCATATAACTATGGCACGCATCACACATCACACATCATACACCGTATATAGGTCATACAGACACATATGCAGATGCACATCTATGTGCACATACATATACATCCCGCTTGGCGTGGAGTTGCACCACCGGCACTTCAAAATTGACAACCCTTACAGTGCTTTAGGTTCTTCAAAGTTGATTTCGGAAGTGCTCCAAGATGGTTCGTTTTTTTGTCATGAACCAGTAGAACCATGCAGCAGTCTAATTTTTGTTGCTTTTTCTGAGCTCTCAGCTGTGGTCCCTTACTTCTTGCCTGTACTTTTTCGGCCGTCGTTGTACGCATATCCCGGCAGTTGGTGGTCCCCCAACACCTTTGCCAATCATGTCATCCAATGTCGGATTGAACACAGCAGACCTTTTGTTGGTCACCCCAAACCAGGTAGCATGCTTTCCGTGAAGAAGTTCTACAGAAGATGAACAGATGGAAACAAAAAGTCAGCACAGATGACATCAAAACAGCAATCACTACACGTATTTGGCACACGTAGGCGGATACAAATACACAGAATATGATAAGATATTATATACATATGCATATCCGGATATGCATGTACATATGCATATACGTATACATTTACCCGTACATAAACAAAGACACTCACGTATATGACTATGCACAACTTTAAATCATTTATAACAAGGAGTTCCAACATCTACAGATGCACATTTTCAATCGGACGCTCGACTATCTATGGTGATTTTTCATGAATTTTCAATTGCCACCTCAGATTCCTAGAGGGCAATTGGTCTAAGGGACAGCCTACAGGGAAACCCCATAATTTGAGGGTGGAAACCAGGGCTTCCTGTGGTTTTGTTCCCTTCGCCAGGGAGATGGCTTCTCCACCCGAGTCTTTTTTAGCATTCTGAAAGGCGGAGCAGTGGGATTGGTTCCTTTTGGTGTCCCAATTTTCAAGTGCATCGTGGTGGATCATGGGTAGTGCCCCCTGGGAAAAAAACACTTGAACATTGGACATGGTGGATCATTGTAGATTAAAGGTGGTTCCAAATGAAGGAGTCCTGAAATGTGCGCGACAGTTGTCCAGGTTTTGAAGCCCAGAACTGTGCAACTGGAGGCAGGGGTCAAGTATTCTTTGGATTGGATGGTATCCCATGACGATGATCCTTACATGTTTCTTGTGGAGGGGACCCGTTCTGGGACTCTAACACGGTGACGGAATATACAGTGTTTTTTTTGGGGTACGTGTTTGGTCAACTGACGGTGTGCTATTAGGAATCCTGTGGATGGATCGTCGGATTTGAAGGCCTATTGGTCATTGGACCAGCATATTTAGATGATTAGATGATTCTTAGTTGGTGGTTCTCATTTCTTTATGTACTTTCTTTTAATCATATTTGTTTATTTATGGGCGCATACCCCGGGTAGACTAAGACTATGCATTTTGTGGTGCCTTTCTCCAGGGCATCAACTGGAGAAGGAGGGCTGGGAACAGATCGTTGCCGGGAGCCCCAGATGTAGCGGGAGTACACCCCAGCAGATGTTGGGGGTTGCCACACCGTGCTTTTCTTGAGGCTTTGATGGTGCTCCGGACGAACTCTGGAATGAAGGACTGCAAGTAGATGAAGAGGAGTTGAACCATCATGCTTTCTTCTCCGTGGCATCCTTGAGACGAGCATACCTTTTTGGTCTTGTCTTCTTTTGATGCTTTTGTTGGTTATGCTGGTTTCAAAGTCAGATCATTGCACTCATTGCACAGCTTTTTCCCTTGGAATTGTGGCGGGATCCCCCTAACTTGCAATTTTCAAGGAAGCGTTGACAAAGCTGGCGGAATGGCTGGCGCCTGTGTCGGAGATCTTGGAGGCGTGGACCGTTGGGGTTCACCCAGGATTCATCAGCCCCATATCAGCCCCCAGTTTATCAGTGGGGTCCCAATTTAAATAGTAATTTGTCACTATTTTGGGGGTACCCGCAATTATATAAACATAGTCAGGGCTTGTTGATTAAGGGTTGGCATTATCAGTGGTTGATGATTCATTTGGATGTTTTTTTTCATTTTTTTTTCCCCTCCACGCTCCCTTATATAGTGGCAAAGAACGGCGGGTTTAACAGTGTTTCATGCACTTTATGAGGTTGGGAAGGTGGTTCATCATGGTTCATCCACAGTGCCTGTAAAACAACCTCCCTATGAGCACCCGTTCTGTTTTTTGCTTGCATATTCCAGCTAGCGAATTCGCGCTGACGAAATTCCCCGCTAGCGGAAAGCGGCTTCGGCTGACGACGTCGCAGCTAATCCTTTTTACAAAGACGACGATGACAGCAAAGGCAGTGAGACTGTCTGCAGCCAAAGAACGAAGAAGAAAGAGAACGAGAAGAAGAAGAAGAACACACATAGCAAAACTTTTTTCTAGTGTTAGCAGCGGCTTCCACTGCAACTTGACGTTTGCCAGCATTTCCTGAAAGAGGCAATGCAGATCTTCAGACCGTTGGGATTAGAGTCTAACTGTGTAGACCAATCATGAAGCGGGAGACATGGGGAAAACACGATTCAGCAACAAAACCAGAAGAATACATTTAGACAAATTGACATGTAGGTACGTGGCATAGGTTCACACCAAAATATGAACACACATACATTAATGCATACATACACATGCATGCATGCATACATAGAATCACCCATACATAGAATCATACATAGAATAATACATTACACATAAACACATACACACATACACACATACATACACATACGCATACACACACACATATATATATAGACATAAACATATACACATACATATACACACACACAGACATACCTACATACCTACATACATACCTACATTCCTACATACCTACATACCTACATACCTACCTACCTACCTACATACCTACATACCTACATACCTACATACCTACATAACTACATACCTACATACCTACATACCTACATACACATACCTACATACACATACCTACATACACATACCTACATACACGTACCTACATACACATACCTACATACATACATACCTCCATAAACATACAAACATACAAACATACAAACAAACATACATACATACATACATAAATACATACATAAATACATATATACATACATAAACATACATACATACACATACATACACATACGTACGTACGTACGTACGTACATACATACATACAAACATACATACATACATACATACATACAGACACATACATACATACATACATAGATAGATAGATAGATAGATACATACATACATACATACATAGATAGATAGATAGATAGATACATACATACACACACACACATACACACATACACACACACACACCTACACACCTACACACCTACACACCTATCACACATACACACACACACCTACACACCTACACACGTACACACGTACACACGTACACACGTACACACGTACACACGTACACACGTACACACGTACATACGTACATACGTACATACGTACATACGTACATACGTACATACGTACATACGTACATACGTACATACGTACATACATGTACATACGTACATACGTACATGCGTACAGACGTACAGACGTACATACGTACATACGTACATACGTACATACGTACATACGTACATACGTACATACGTACATACATACATACACACACACATACACACACATACACACACTAGACAAGAATGGATCATTATATGATCCGTCAGGAACTGAATCCTGAAACATGCAGATTAGATACGAAAATAAAATCATGGTGTTTGGGGTTCTTAGCTTGGCCCCTTGCTATGTCGGAGAAAAGCAGGTACGTGACAAAGGCGCCCCTTCGTCATATCACAGCAAATGATGAAGCGTCTTCGTTGAGTGGTGACTTCATCATTGCTCACCACTCCCCTGCATTAAATTTAATTTAGAATTAGAAAGGGAGAGGACAAAGGAAGAAAAAGAGAGAGAAGAAGTTTTACATCTATTCAGATGTTACACACACACACACCCGGCCGGAGCCGGGTCAACCCTGAAAGGCAAGAGGAAGAAAAAAGCGGACACACGACGGGCAGACGGCCAAAAACAGCGCGGGGGGGGAGGGGAACAGACGGACCTCCGGAACCAACCTACACGGCGAAACGGACCTGAACAAAACAGCGCACACACCTAAACCCCACGACACATTACGGAGAGGCACGCGGGGAAATTAGGGACCAAATGGGGGACTAGTTGATGACCGACAGGAAAACCAAAACAATTAATTAAAAACAGGATTCAGTCCCTAAATGCCTAAAGGTCGTGCGATTATTCCCTGCACCGGGACCGTGGTCAAGTCTTGCCCCAATTGGCATAAAACAGCTTTCAAGTTCCAACGAATTAGGTGCACAACATGTTTCACCTCACCAGAAAACCAAAAGGAAGAATACCACACCTGAAAGTCGTGTGCCTACCTGGTCCACTTGCATGTAATGTTGCAAAATGTCGCTGTGAAAGTGCTGCAGAATAAGAGGTTTCTGAATGTTCAGTATGGCGTCACTTGAAAGAGCAGAGCACTGGGATCCCTGGGACATCCGGAGCCGCGGGACATTCAACAAGGCTGGTAAACCGTAAGGCCAACTGTTGCAATTTACGTAAACGAATTACTAAATTGAAAAGTGTAAATTCGGCAGTCAAAGCAGTCATCACTCACCCTAAAAAGGGTTGCCTCAAATGGCTCCATGGCACCATGTCGGAGCCACCATGGAAATCACACTAGACAAGAATGGATCATTATATGATCCGTCAGGAACTGAATCCTGAAACATGCAGATTAGATACGAAAATAAAATCATGGTGTTTGGGGTTCTTAGCTTGGCCCCTTGCTATGTCGGAGAAAAGCAGGTACGTGACAAAGGCGTCCCTTCGTCATATCACAGCAAATGATGAAGCGTCTTCGTTGAGTGGTGACTTCATCATTGCTCACCACTCCCCTGCATTAAATTTAATTTAGAATTAGAAAGGGAGAGGACAAAGGAAGAAAAAGAGAGAGAAGAAGTTTTACATCTATTCAGATGTTACACACACACACATACACACATATACACACATATACACACATACACACACATACACACACATACACACACACACATACACACACATACACACACATACACACACATACACACACATACACACACACACATATACACACATATACACACATATACACACACATATACACACACACATACACACACACACATACACACACACATACACACACACATACACACACACATACACACACACACAAGCCCTTTGCAGGCGCGAGCCCTGCACTCAAGGTTGGTTCAGTCCACCTAGGGAACAACCGCAGCCGTTGCCACCCGTTCGACTGTTACGGGCGGTGATAGGGTTTGACCCCCTGCGTGTGCCTTCTGGTCTCTGTTTGTTTTCAAGCCGGGTTTGGCCCCCGTTATCATCCCTGGCCTTTGATTACATTGGATCGATTCTTTTCGATTAGGTTTCTTGGTACAACGCTTGGAACAACAGGGTGGGCACCTGAACTGACTGTCCCAACAGACACATCACCTGGACGGAATTTTTGGTATCGATTCAACAGTGGAATACAATTTCCTGACCCTCACCTGCTGGACAAAGTGTGCCCTTGTGAGTGGTTCTGATTCGATATGAGGCCACCGATATTTGGACCAGTGCCTCCTTGGATAAATCTTTTGGGACTTTTTTCCTTGATCATTCAGCTCGTGCTCTGCAACCCGGTCCCAAATCCGGGCATGACCGGCCTACAAACGCAGATCCCTGACTTCTTCTCACGGAGCGGTCATGAGGGTGAGGGTTACCACGGTCCCACAGCCGTGGTTGGAGCAGACAGTTGGATCCACGATTACTGTCATGACTCTGCGAACAGTGGGCAACAGCCGCCAATGAGCTATTGCTCCAATACCCCTACCAGGCCGTACACTCAGGTGCAAAAACGGAGTTACGAAAGAGCTTGCCGAAGAGCGATCCTACATGGCCATGCACAGTATCATGGATGTCCTGTGACGCCACAAGATTTCCCAGCAGCGTTGGTCCAGAAGCTACAACAACAGCTGCAACCACAAGGACATCAGCCTCAGAAACGTTCGATCCCACTGAAGAAGGTCGACAGATTGACATGCCTCCACTGGAATCCAGGAGGTCTATCCCAAGCCATGCTGCTCGAGATCAAACACTGGTTACGACAAAACAGAGCAGACGTGGTGGTCATCTCAGAGACCAAGTGGAGTTTTTCTTCCACCTGGTCAGACAGAGAATGGTTGTATGTGCATTCTGCAACAGCTGACTATAAAAGTGGCGGCATCCTTACAATGATTTCGCGTCGGATAGCTGAACCAGAGCAACTTGGCTATGCTTCAATCATCGATGGCCGGCTGTTACACATTCGTGTTCATTATGCCACTAGAGCCCTCGATATCATAGCCACGTACCAGTATGTTGCTGCAAACAATCAGACATCCGCCTATCAACGTAACATTTTTTGGACCGCCATAAATGAACTCCTTAGCACACTTCCTCACCGTAACAACCTTATTTGCGCAGGCGATTTCAATTGTGGACTTGTAGCCCAACCCCCATGGGCAGGCACCTCGACATTCAAGTGGGGGGGGAAACAACACAGTGGACCCAGGTATGCTGATCAGGAACAATTCCAAACCTTGCTGAAGACTCACGGGCTCACTGCCCTGAATACATGGGGGGCCTCAGGACCCACGTACATCCATGGTAGCCATGTATCCCGGATTGATCACTTCCTGATTCGTTTGATTGCTTGTGATGGGGCTGCAAAACAGGTTCAGTTCTTGCCATCAGCCGCCTTTGTACCACACAATAGTACACATCACATTCCCCTGCAGTGCACGATTCGACAGAAACATATGGCCTATCAAAAGCATGACGGCGTGACATCGTGTACCTTTGCACAACGGAATCAATGTCGGCTAGCAGGACTCCAAGACTCTTCGACATGGCATCAGCTCCGGCAGCAAGTGATTTATTCACTGCATGATGACTTGCAGGCCCTGACACCAGACGAAGCTATCACCACAATTCATCAACGTGTATCGACTGCGTTTCACACCCTTTTTTCAGGCAAACATCCTACTGCATGCAGAATTGATCATTCTCAGGTTCACAGGCACATCGAAGACAAGTGGTTTCACAAAAAGCAGTTGCGACATCACGAGGCATCATACCCAAAAGGGCTTACAATCCTCTTCCGAGCCTGGTATCGCCGAAGTAGATACCAGACATTGCAACGTGAGCAACAACGTGCGGCCAGGCAAGCCAAAAAGCATCAGTTTCAACAGCTCTGCCACGAAGTAGCAGAGGCAGCCAGACATCATGAGACTCATACTATGTTCTTGATCATCAACAAATACTCCCCCAAAAAACCCCTTGCCAGGGCTCGTTTGCGGGGACCAGATGGGAGTATTGCTGATCAGTTTATGGCACATTCCATGACCGTGTCCTTTGTCAAGCAAATGTGGCAGGGACCGCATCGCCTGCCCATTTACTCTGAAGCTGCCCCGGGCGTACCGTTTGCACTGGACGAATTGGTTGCAGCAGTTGGCAAACTCCACCCAAACAAGTCGGTGGCACAGCCTTTCCTTCCAGGGGTGGTATGGAAAAGCGCTCCCATGGATGTTGCATTGTTCCTTTTCCATTCCCTCAATCATTGGTGGGCCCAATCCCCCCCAAAGATCCCCCAAAACTGGAAAGACTCTTGGTTATTTTTCCTCCCAAACCCTGGAAAGCCAAATACGCATCCTGACCAACTCCGACCAATATCCCTGATGGAACCATTAGGAAAACTGGTGATGGGGTTACTTGCAACCAAAATACGTGATCATGTTTTTCCAGTGGTGTGTTCGACCCCACAATTCGGCTTCCTGCCGCGCCGTGCTGCAACTGACGCAATTCTGCGGGTGGCTACGCACAGCCGATGCATCCGTGCCCTGGTCCGATCACATCGAAGAACGGTCCCCAACCAAATTTGTCGACCCCTTGGCTCCAAAATATGTGGTGGACTATCACTGTTTCTGGACCTGACCCGGGCTTTCGACAGTGCTGATAGACAGGCCATATTTGACCACCTCCAAACGTTAAGTACCCCTGAACACTTGATTCAACTGGTTGCCAGCTGGCATGAGGACACCAATTACAATCTTGTTTTTAGGGGGGAAACCACTTCTATCAGAGTGGGTCGTGGCTTGCGCCAGGGATGCAAAATCGCTCCCCTGTTGTGGGTGACCTTCATGAACTTTTTTTTGCAACAATTAGCTGCCCTGGTTGGATTGCCCTGGATCATGGAATGCCTGACAATCTACGCAGACGACGTGCACGTAGGCTGCCAGTTTTTGACTGAATTTTCACTCCATACTCATTTGACCAATATTGGACATGCATTGGATGTGATTGAACGCCTGAAACTGTCCCTGTCGTATTCCAAGTCGTTTATGCTGTTTGCATACACAGGCACAAATCCAAAACCAACCTTGAAAAAGGTGCTCCAGCGTACTTCCCAGGGAGTTTTCATCCGCATCCCACGAACCAGTGGATCCTGCACGGACTTGCCATTGAGGAACAAAGGTCCTTATCTGGGTGTGGTCATCAGCTACGACAACTTTGAATTGCAGACATGGACACACCGCAAGAAAGCCAGTTGGACTGCGTATGCCAGACTGAGAGGATGGCTCAGACACAAACAAATTCCGACGACCAAACGGCTATATCTTTGGCATACCAGCGTCTTTTCGGTTATGACCTATGGTCTCCTGGCCACTACAGTCACGACTCAAGTTTTGCATGATTTTCAGGCAACAGTGTACAAAATGGTTCGGAGCATCATAGGTGATCACGCTTTTCTGACACATCGCACACATCAGCTGGCACTACAGAGGTTTCATCTTGCCCAGCCACTTGACATGCTCCGTGCCCTTGCCATGGGCCTATCCAACCGCCTGAGTAGGCGTGCCAGCTTATTGCATTCGGATGACTTTCTGCACAACCAGAGTTGGACGCACTTGCATGACATCATCCAACTCATCGATTGTGTGCAGGCTACGTCGATAGAACCTCCGATCAGTGCAGACCCAGCGGAACCGCTCACACTGCAGGCGAGACAGTTTTGCCCTCACTGCCAGTTTACTACAACATCCAGTGCCAACATGCGCAGACATCTCACCATGCACCATCAAGCCCCCCAATATCGCACAGCCTCCACGTCGCCCCTGGCTATGACCATAAATGGCATGCCCCAATGTAGCAATTGCATGCACATGTTCTCTTCCTGGAAAAACTTCTTTGTTCATGTCCAACGCAATTGTTGCCAGGTTCAACGCACCATGGACCCAGACGTGCGACTGGAGCCGCCCAATGCCCAGGAGTTGGTCAATAGGACATTTCATGCTGCCGCACAGGTTTTCTGGCCGGATTTGCAAAGCAATCTGATGACAGATGACTGGACAGGCTTAGCACAGCAGGAACAGGCCCTGACCTATCTCACCCACCATTGTGCCATTTGCGGCACCTGGTGCAACAGGTTCCAGGAACTTCATGGCCATCTCAGGTTATACCATCAAGACCAGCTGCGAGGAGGAGTTGCCAAAGGAGCTCAATTGTCCCAGATCCTGCAACAGACCTCACCATGTCCCCTGTGCAAGCGCAACTTCAGCCGAGTTCATAGCTGCCCAGTTACCCTGCAAGTGGGGATTTTACGATTGCAGTTGCTGGAACCGGACATCAGGCGCCAGACGGAATTGACTTGTGAAATTTGTATCCAACAGTTTGACGATTCCAGTCAACTTTACACACATCTTTCACATGATCATGGACTGACCCTGAATGACTGGCTGACTTCCAGAGACTCTTTACAGGGGCAAGATCAGTGCCGACACTGCCATGCCAGATTTGAGAGCCGCTCTGGCCTGAGACGCCACATAACGGAGGGCAGATGCGAGGCCTTCGATCCGACAGCATCGCAGAATCCCGTGGACAATTCCCAGACCTGGCATGCTTGGCTGAGACTTGGGGATTTTTCACCCACATGCTTGTCAGCCCACCAACGGCTACAGTTGACCATAGTATGTCAATTCTGCGGGGTCAAGTATCAACGGGGAGGCGATCTTGTAGCCCATCTCCTTCAGGCTCATGGGGATAGCTGGCAAAACTCACAGGCAATGTTGCGGTTTTTGCTCCAGGCAGTGATGGCCACCAGAGGATGCATTTGCAACCCTCAGGCACACGAAGTCGGTCTGGCTCACATCTGCACTCCGTTGCGACAGGTGGCGATGATCATGACCGCCAGTGACATACCGCTCCTTGTGCCACAGCAGTTTCATGCAGCCCAGTTGGACACCACCTTCCAAGGTCTACAGCATGCCGCACTTGCTCAGAAGCTGTCACAGATTTTGGTTTCCAGAGATTTTGCAAAGCTTTGGACTGATGACGAAGTCTTGCATGGCCTGCGCACGCGTTGCAGGCACTGTGGAGGACACTACCAACCATCGGAACTGCTCAGACATCTCCTGGTGATGCATCCCAATACCTGTGCGTGGGCCACTCAGATTGCTTTCCAATTGCATGGTCCTTTGCAGCAAAACCAATCCCAGGACTACCGATGTGACTGTTGCAGCCAAGTATTCAATGTGCCTGCGGACATGTCTCAAACAGCGCAATCAAGACATGACATTCAACGAAGTCATTTTGTCTCAAATTGCCCTGTGGTCCTGCAAATTGCCACGTTGCTACATCCCATCAATGGACGCACTGATGGACCCCAGCGACCAGGCGCTGATGGAAGGCTTGACGGCATTGGGCCCCCTGTTATTGGGCAATCGACGTCTTCACGAAGTCTCCGCCGACGAGCAGCACAACAAGAGGCACAAGTCCAAGGGCAAAAACGACTCAAGCTCAGACGGCCTCCAGCCAGAAGCAGTGCACGCAATGCTCAAGCTGATGGGTCAACTCATCCTCAGCCACGAACGGAGCACCCAACTCAGTCAACGACAGGACTGCTTCGTTATGTTCTGCCAAAACCGGCCAGAGGGCATTGTGCCACACCTCACCTGTCTGGCCAAGACATGGAGGGAGGAATGGCCGAAACAGCAGGACAATCAGCGCTGGCTCAACCTCCGCACCTACTTGGTTCAGGGTGTCATCAAGGAGCTCCTGCGGCGGGTGCAGCAGTTGGCCAACAGCAAGGCCGGGGATCAGCTCTGGGAAGTGGCGACCACCAAGGGCACGATCCTCCCAGATGGCTCATGGGGGTACCAGAAATGGTCGACAGAGACCAAACAACTGATCAAGGCACCGAAGCCACCCATGACGATGCAGGTCATGCTTCGGACGCTCCAGACACTGGAGGATTTGTTGGACAGCAATGCCCACGTGATCCAGTTCAAGAGTCTGAGGACGGATCAGCCGACCATACCTTGGCTCCTCCAGTTGACGCACAGAGAGACCGAAGTGTGGGACCTGCTGTGCGAGCTGTGTCACAACTCAGTGTGGTCACTGTTGGGAATGAGCGTCAAGAGACACAACCAGGCCCTTTCCAAACAGGCCATGTTGCTCCAGAAAACTCTGGGCAAAGGAGAGGGCAAGAACAAGGGCCAAGGGAAGGGAACCAAGACCTCCCAATGACGCTGGATGCCACCCACCGACGTCGCCTGAGAGACCGAGTCTTACAGTTAGTTTTTGCGAACCAGGGTTATGCCTGCTATGCAAACAGCTCCTTTCTCAGCCTGATTTGGGCCAGCTTATGCAGGCAAAACTTTCAATTCCAAGACTGGGGGGTTCGATCAACCATCCTTCAACAGATCCTCCAACGGGGCAATGGATCGGTGTTTTCACTTGCCAATGAAACATGGTTCACAGAGCTGATTGAAGGATGGATTGAGGACGGGGAACAAGCCGACTGCGCAGAATTCTCTCACCTGCTCTCCAGCTGGACGGCCATGCCGGCCATCTCCAATTGCTGGGAGCGCTGTGTGCAGATGGAACAAAATTTTGTGCGACATGATTCAGGCGATCAATACATGCCGCTGACATTGCAATTGGACCCACAGATGATCCATCACGATGAGATTGCACTGTCTGTCCTGCTCAGGTCTTGGAGCTCTGAACTTGGAATGCTGGCGGGCATCACAGATGCCCAAGATCTCCTTCTGCTACACATTGACCGCCTGGTCCGATCCCCTCAGGGAGAACCCATCAAATGTCACGCTGCCATTTGCTTCGACTGGGAAGTGCAGATGCCCGCACTGAACAACAATCAGAGTGAGTTGATCTCTTATACAGTTGTGGCGTGCATTTCACACCAAGGTGAGGCTGACCATGGACATTACCACTGCATGCTGCGTACGCATCCTGAGGTGTCCAATTTGGCAGACCCGGCCATGTGGATGTCATGTGACGATGACCGTGCCCCCATCCGCTGCCTCCATCCGTCGCAGGAGTTCTCCAAGGGACTCACTTGCCTATGGCTTTGCCGCACTGATCGAATGGAGCTGCATCATTTGCCTGCACAGCCGTCCACGCCTGACCCAGAGCTGGACCTTTTGGCACTGCTAGCCACACAGCCGGACCCAGAACCATAAATGCACCCGGCTCCCCTGCCGGTTTATCCCCGCAGCGCCGGAAGCCCCGACGTGGACCACCAGCAAAAAAAAAAAAGAGGCAGGCCACCAAAAGATGCCAGAGCCCAAATAATTCTGTTGCTTCAAATCAAAAAAAAGAAGTTCGTTCCACAATGCGCCCAACGTTGGCTGACCTAAATGTGCAGGCGGCCCAGAGGCGGCACCAGACTGGCATTTTGCCAACAAGCCTAGCAGGCGCACCTCCAAAGCAGATGCCATTTTGGCGGTTCCCTGGCCATTTTGGCCCGTGCCTTTGTGTCCAAGCCTAGTCGGCGATTTACCCATATCCAAATCTTGCAGCCCATTTGCCTTCGATGTAGCCTATGCCATTTTTCCAATGCCTTTTCTCCTATGGATTTCTCCATGCCGCTCCGCGGCTTGCACCCAGCTTAGCTGGTTTATCCCCACCCAGTAACCCCTCTTTCAGGCCCGCTGGTCTCCCCAGCGTGTACCCCTGCCCAAAAAAAAAAAAAGAGGCTGGCCACGAAAAGATGCCGAAAGCCCATATCATTCTGTTGCTTCAAAAAAAACAACTTAGATGTGTCCAACGTGGCAGCCTGCCCAGAGACACTGCAGTCGATGCTGTAGCTTCTCACACTCGAACACCGGTGCCATGTCTTTTTCCCCACTGGACATGGCACGCAGCTGCGGCGGTAGGGAGCTTCTCCAAGGTGAGAACCAGTGGCAACAAGGTTTTGCTACTGAAGAGGCTAGCGCCATTTCTGACTCAGAAAAAGGAGCGTGGGAAAAAACACACACACACACACACTAAGCCCCTGTGTGTCAAGCTCCTGGCAACAGCGCCTGCAGCCCTGGGGCGCTCTGCTGCTTTTTGTCACTGCCATTTGGATTCCTCGCTTTGTGCTGTTTCATTCTTTATTTATTTGTATTGGCGATTTTTGGACGACAGATTTGTTTTGCTAGCACTGGGCGCATTGCCACTGAGCCTTGGTGCATGAGACTTCAACTGCTGATTTGCGCAACCATTTGTATTGCCTGTGTCGTGGGGTGGATTGCTGAGCACGACCTCCAATATTTGGACATTCGCGTGAATCTTGCATTACAGGAGACATCATTGCGTGCCGGAACGGTATTTGCGATTTTCACTGCAATACTGCTCTACTCTGGTAGGTGGACACTGCTGTACTGTTTTCAGGCCTTCACTGCTGGGTGGCTCCAGCTTTGCAATTGGAACAGATTTTCTTTCAGGATTGAGGTAATCTCTTATTTGCTGGCCTTTTCTGCTGGGTGGCTCCAGATTTGCATCTCGAGATTTTCATTTCGTTTCGCAACTGCTTTCAATTCACTGGCCTTTTCTGCTGGGTGGCTCCAGTCTTACAATTGGTATATTTTACATTCATATACTACAGACAGCAACTCATTGACTTTTTGGTTGGAGAGGTCTCTGGTCTTTCCAACTCTGGCAAACACAGCTGCGTGGACTCTCTCTGGACACCAACCTTTGGACATAACCATTTGTTTGCGGCAACTGGCCTATTCTGCAGGGTGGCTCCTGGGGTGGCATCCGTGTTGTGCATTTCAACAGATCCTGGCCTATTCTGCAGGGTGGCTCCTGACGTGGATACAATCAGTTTTGCAGACACTGCAGCTTGTGGTTTTCTCAGCAGGGTGGCTTTTGAGGCGCTCCCTGGATATACGACTGCTTTTGCCCAATCTGCTCACTCGATCAGTGCAATCTCTGAGAACGGCCCTGGGTCCCTGTGCTGGACTTCGGATCTTGCTTCTCCAGCCTGGGGGGCGACTGTGGTGGACAAACAATTTCTTCTTGCTTTCGCAGACTCTGGCCTATTCTGCAGGGTGGCTCCTGATCATTCAGATTTTGTGCAACTCCGTTCAGATCTTTCTGGCCTATTCTGCAGGGTGGCTCCTGAATGCAATAATTCAGATCGTCCAACCAATACAACAGTTTCTATTTCCGGGGAATCTTTTTGGAAAGTGGCAACGCTTTTCTTCTCAGCGACTGTGGCTCTTTGACCAGGTTGCAAGTGACACACTACCCGGTCCCAAGTCCGGGCGCTCCAGAGCTTCGAAGCTGGCATACCTTTTGATCATGACTGCTGCGCTTCAAACGACCTCTTTGCACACAAGCTGGAGCGGGGGTGAGGGTTGTGACCTCCCCACGAAGGTCACTGGAGCGCTGCCCCTATGGGAGGATGCTCTGCTGTGCCAAGCTGGCGCAAAGCATAGTGGGACACAGCCACCAATCAGCTTCGGCTCATGGCCCTCTATGGATGTGGTGAAAAAACGCAGCCTCAAACGTGCTCACAAACGAGCCCTACGAGATGGATCAAGCTGGTACAAGGGACAATGCCTAACAGTTGCTGATTTCCCTCGTCAGTGGGCAGCCAACATGACTGCAGGCCCACAGATTCAGGCCTCTCCATCACCTGCCTCTACCTCCTGGCGCAACATGGCTGACTGTAATCGACGGCACCAAAATCGACGCTATCTGCGCTATGTGAACTGGAACGGTGGTGGAATGAGCAGCCACAGGCTGGATGAGCTGAAAATTTGGTGTGAAGGTCAAGGCATTGACATGCTGATTTTGACTGAAACGCGATGGAAGTATTGCAATGAGTGGAGCGACAGTTCCTGGATTCACTTGCACTCCGGATGTGCTGCACAACCAGGCGCTGGCATCCTTATTCTTATTTCCAGAAAATTATGTGATCCTGAGCCTGTTCGATGGACTGAAGTAGTCTCTGGCCGTCTTGTCCATGCCCAGATCAGACTTCCTCAAAGATGTTTTGATGTTGTGGCAGCATATCAACATACGTTTGCCCATACACAAACCAGACGTGCGGAAAGAATGACCTGGTGGTCCCATCTAGATCGCTATTTAGGAACCCTTCCCAAAAGACATGTTTTGCTTTTGACAGGCGACTTCAATTGCCGGCTTCCAGCTGCTCATGGCCATGTTGGCCATTCAACCTTCACCCAGGGTAATCGAGCCTGTCTGGGATTTGCTCATCCGGATGAAGGCCACTTTCTGTCTCTAGTCAAAGCACATTTCTTGGTTGCATTGAATTCGTGGAACTCGAAATTGGGCCCTACTTTTCAAGGTCCGAACACATGTTCACGGATTGATTTTGCATTTACACGGTTTCCTCATGCAGATGGGTGCTCCAGGGCCATCAAGTATTTGCATTCAGCCCCATTTTTGGCATGTGATCATGTGGGTCATTTCCCAATGATTGGTCAGATTAGGAAGTTTTGGATCCCACCACAGGCAGACACCAGAACTGCTGGCATCAGCCTGCAGCAGCGGAACGCAGGGCGTCTTGCCCAGGCGTGTAATAGCCCTGATTGGCAACATTTCATGACCTGCATCACCCCTGTAGTTCAGAGACACTTCACTCAGGCTGATCCCAGTGACAACACCTTTTTTCATGTCTTGCATCACAAAGCTGGTAGGATTTTTGATCAGTGTTTTCCAACAGAAAAACGCTCTGCGGCACCAACCCCGCTTGATGCCACTCGGTCACTCATTCTGGATAAGTGGAGACACCGTGATTGCTTTCGAGCACTGGCTCTCCCAACAGTGCGCAATGTGTTGCAGGCCTGGTTTCATTTGACACGTTTCACGATTTTGCGCCAGAGCCACAAGAAGCATGCCATCAAGGCCAGACAGCATAGGTTTGAGGCTGTCATGCAACAGGCTCAGATTGCCTCACAGAACCATGACTCATTTCTTCTCTTTCAGGTGATTAACAGATTTGCACCCAAGCTGACCAAGCGTCGACTGCAAATTCGAAATGTTTCTGGGAATCTTGCGACACCCATGGAAGAACAGGCCATTTTGCATGCTTTTGTGGAACGCACATGGCAGGGTCCTGCCACTGTGCCTAAACCGACTCATGTTTTGCCAGGCCTTCCCTTCTCTGAGGGAGAATTGTTGCGAGCATTGCAGAAAATTCCGATTTCAAAAGCAGTAGCGCGGCCATTCACTCCAGGGTTGATTTGGCATTCTCTTGCACCATGGTTGACACCGCTGCTTTATGATGCATTGTTGCAAATTTGGAGTAAGCCCTGCCCAACTGTGCCTGAGTGTTGGCGTGATGCCTGGCTCCTGCTAATTCCGAAAGAGTTGAAGCAGCCGAGTGCACCTGATGCCTTGCGGCCCTTGGCTCTCCAAGAGCCGTTAGGCAAGGCTGTTGTAGGTCTGCTTGCTGCCAAAGCACAAAGTGCTTCGATGGCCCAAATGGCATGCTGGCCCATTTGGGCATACCTTCCGCACAGAAGCACGCAACAGGCCCTTTTGAGGGTAGCATCTCATTGTGCTGCTGGCCGACAGCTGGTTGCCTCTCAGCGTCCAACAGTGTTTCATCGACAACAGAACATGCCCACTTACAAGATCTGTGGAGCCATCCAATTGCTGCTAGATTTAAGTAAAGCCTTTGACTCGGTCTGTAGGCAGGAATTATTTGGCAGACTTGGTGAAATCCTTGATGATTCCCGTGTAATTAGCATGTTAGCGCAATGGCATGAACACACCTCATACCATGTTGAAACATCTCAGGGCACGACCCCTATCAGAATTGGTGCAGGAGTGAGGCAAGGCTGCAAGGCAGCACCATGGTTGTTCAATGCGTTTGTTTTGTTATATTTGCGAGACCTCTCGCATTTGATCGACTGGACCTGGTTGCGTGCTCATTTGAATGTTTTTGCGGATGATTTTCATGTCTCTGGTTTGTTTTATAACTTGGCTGACCTGAATCGTTTGCTCTTTTATTTTGGACTCATCATGGAAGTGCTCCAAGAGAAAGGCCTTACGATCAATACTGTCAAATCTGCCATTTTGCTGACCATGGGTGGCACCAGTTTTCGTCCAATGCGATCCTCTCTGACCTTCCATGACCATGCTGGGGAATGGATCAAAATCACTGGCCGGCATACTGAGTTTGTCCTGCCTGTTGTCAAGCAAGCCAAATACTTGGGCACCCTTGTCAGCTACATGCAATTTGAATTTGCCACCATGAAACACAGACTTGGACTTGCCAGAACTGCCTATGCACGCTTGAAGAAGTGGCTCACTGCGCGGAGGGGCCTTGGAGCCAAAGAACGTTTGAGACTTTGGTCGACATGTATTTTGCCCATTCTTTCATATGGCATTTTTACAATAGGACTGACCAAACCCGGTCTTGATCAGATGCAAATGGCAATGATGCAGATGCTTAGACAGATCATGCATGACCATGCCTCCGTTACAGGCCATTCTCATCAGCAATTTTTGCGTTTGCACAGCCTTGACCCTCCATTGCAATGGCTTTGGCGTGCTGCTGACTCACTGCTCCAGTCAGTGACTCAGCGACCATTGCACCCACTGCCAGATGACATTTGTGATACGCTTGACTGGACACCACTTCGACAGACGGTGGATTTCTTGCATGCCGCAATTGCCTCAGGCCTCCCTGTGCCTGGCAATACCATGACGCAGAATGAGGCCAACCTTGAACACCAGCATTCGTGTCCTCACTGTGCTTTTTCCACTGCACACCTGGCTGTCTTGAGAAGACATCTCACTACTGCACATGGCATAACCCGATTCCGTAGATATATTCCCCTAGTCTCCCAATATATGCGTAATGGGTTGCCTCAATGCATTTTGTGCCACACTGCCTTCACCACGTGGCGTAGTTTCACAATACATGTCCAACGTGGTTGCCAGGCGGATGATGTGGAGCATCGCCAAGCCAGACCGCTTGTGCCTTTCCCTGCTGATGACCCAGGGGCACCGTTGCAGTCTCTTCCTGGAGCCAACCTGAAGCTCACCAAAGAAGAGATCGAGTCCATCAATAATCGAGAATTTGGACCGCGCTTGATGACTTTGATCCACCAGCGCAAATGGCCTGAACTGCTTCGAGAAAGAGCTGGATGCACCTTCTTGTCCCGTAACTGCCTCCTGTGTGGCCAATACGTGGGTAGGGCGCAGGCGATGCATCATCATGTTAGAGTTGCACATCGAGCCTTCAGTTCTCTGGTTCAGACCAAGGCAGTGCAGTTGACGAACCTTCATATTGACGAGAGTCCTTGCTCAGCATGCGGTGTGACTTTCCTCTCCTCTCACTCCTGCAACGTCTGGTTCCAGGTGGCATTGTTGATTGTTCATGGTCCCAAGCCTGCCACTAGCATGCCAAACCCCGGTGCTGAATCCTTGCGGTGCGAAATCTGTGGCCAGGGATGCACTACCTCGCAGGAATTGCACCTTCACCTGCAAAGGGAACACCGACTGGTTAGCTCGGTCTGGCACGAAAGCAGGGACAGCCTGGATGGACAACCGGTGTGCAATCATTGCAATATGCTCTTCCTGACGATGCAGGGACTGCGATCGCATATCAACCAGGGGAGGTGTCTTGAGTTCAACCCGGACCTCTCCACTGCGCCTTCTGACGTTTTGCACATTTGGCGTGAGGCTTGTTGCTCTGGCAAGTTGGAGGAGGTCTTGAAAGATCCACACCATCGACTCAGACTGACCCTCCAATGCCAATGCTGCCCCAAGCGGTATGCTCGCTCCAATGACTTAGCAGCGCACCTCCAGGGTGCCCACCCGCAGATTTGGGCGGCAGCACAACCTCTCACTCACCAACTGCTGCAACGCTACTATGGGGACCTGGGATGTGTATGCAACCCTTCCTGCAATGTGGCTCGTCTGCAACACGTTTGTATGCCCTTCCAGCAGATTGCGATGCAATTCACACGCCTCCATGAGGGTATTTTCATGCCGACTGCCATGACCCCTACGGAGCTTGCCCGTGTCATCCCAAACCATGTGCCCATGGATTTGCGATGTAGCCTGGAGCAGGCGATCTTGCGCTATGATCTGAGCACGGTGTGGCCTGATGCACTGCTCCTGGATGCGTTGAGTGGCACATGTTTCCTCTGTGGCCATGAACTCCTGCCGGCTGATCTCTACTATCATCTACATGAGGCACATCATGGTTTGCATGCGGTTGTGAAGTCATATGTTTTGCAACTCCTTCCACATGCCCTGAAACACAGTGACAGTGACTGCGCTTGCTTTGCATGTGGACAGATTTTCAACAGCCCTGCCACTGCGTTGGATGAAACCCAGCGAGCTGCCAGAGCACAGTTGGTTCAAGCTCATCTGCGGGCTCAGTGCCCTAGCGTTCTGCAACTAGCGGTTCTCCTGACTCACTTGCACCATGGACCAACCAGACTGCCACATGGGTCAGGAGGAGGCCATGCAGCAAATGCTTCAGACCTTCCAGCACCTAGCTCCGCTTTTGCACGTGGACAAAGGCTTGACGCTGGAACCCAACCCCGCTGCTCCCAAGAAGCAGCGAAAACACCAGGACGCCGAGCCAAAAAACCACGTCTTGGCAAAGGGGCAGCCTCAGGGCACCACCGTGGACCACAACCAGATTTTGCTGATGATGGGCAGACTTCTACTCAGGGTCGATCGGGACCTCCAGGTGCTACAGCGAGAGACAACCTTCATCTTCTATTTCAGCTGCAAAGATCCCAAGGGGATTCTACCTCTCCTGCTGAAGAAGGCGGATCAATGGCATACCCAAGCCAAGGAGGGATCATCATCCTCGACGGGCCCACTCCGTCAGGTCCTTTTGCAGACGGTGATGTCAGAGTTGACGACTCGGGTCAACAGACTGCTGGAAGCACCGGAAGACTCTCCATTGCTTCAGGCTGCCAAACAAACACAGCTGCTCCTGGAGAACAAGACGATCCCCTACATGGCCTGGAACCAGCAGGATCAGAAGCTTCAGGTCTCGACCAAGACCCCGGTGAGTCTTGCCAAGATGAGCGAGCACTGCACCGAGCTTCAGGAAGGGTTTCGAGATGTCAGCCTCATCATGAAATTTCATGCGCTCCCCACCAGGGAGGACAGCCCAGTGACACCTTGGAGATTGCAAATGTCAGCCAGGGAGGATCGGACCTACGAATTGCTCCTGCACCTGGCACAGTCCCAGGTATGGACTCTCCTTGCGGCCAGTCTCAAGCAGCACAACTTGCACCAGAGCACTTTGGCCGGCGCTCTGGAGCGCAGCCTGGGACTCCAGCCGCAGAAGGGGAAGGGCAAAGGCAAGCACAAGGGCAAGTCACCGAAGATACAGTCCCCAAAGAAGGAGACATGAATGCGACTCAGCCTCAACTGACTGAGATTGTCTCGAAGCTGGTGTTTGCCAATCCAGCCAACTGGTGTTTTAGCAATGCTGCAGCATACTCCGTGTTTTGGACTTTGCTGACGCTGCGTGACTTCTCACTGATGCTTTGGGGTAGCCAGCGACATGACATCACGAATTTTCTCCTTGGGGCACCCAATCAGGTTTGCAACCTTGCTGCTCAATCGTTTTTTCGTGATATCATGCGCAGTTGGGGACGAGATGACTTAGAGCATCTGAACTTTTCGATTTCGCAACAAGATGCCTCTGAGTTTGTCAGTGTCTGGCTGGACATTCTGAAAACGCCAGCTTTTCAGATGCGATGGGAGAAACGATTGTGTGTTGCAGCTGACATGCGTGTGCTGGATTGTAGCCATGCACGCTACATGCCCATTTGCCTGAAGTTTGATGACACGTTGGCACAGTCTTCATTTTGCACTTTGAACACACTTATTTCTCTGTGGCACCAGGTCGATGGCATGGCTACGGCGCTGCTGACTGCCTCAGATTGCATTTGTGTGCATCTTGACCGATGCATCTTGGGGGAGGACCTGACCGTTTGCAAATGTACCAGCAAGCTGCAGATTGACGACGAGTGTTATTTTCCAGTTTTCAATGGCAACTCAGCTCAATGTGTTTTCCATGGATACATGGTGGTTGCGCTCATGGCCCACCTGGGCGCAGACTGTGCGGGACACTATCGGAGTGCCTTGAAAGTGAGTCCTCTGATTGTGAACCAAGTGCACCCAATCAACTGGCTGATTACAGATGACTGGCGTGCCCCCACAGCTACCTGGTCCTTGCCTGATTGGATGCTGGAAAACACCACCTTGGTTTGGCTTGTTAGATCTGACCTGGTACGCCTGCCGTACTATCGACTTCTGCAAGATCCAGCTGCCTCCTCAATGACCGAGCTGCTGCGAATGATTACTGAGCCTGATGGAAAATCCCAAGCCTGAGCCATCCTTGACCGCTGGCTGCTGAAACATTTTGTTTCGACTTTTGATTTCAACTTTTTTTTCACCATTCTCCAAGGGCCAAGAAGATTCCTCTCGGAACCGTCTGACCTTCAGACGTTGGCTGGCATAGACCTTTGATGCATGAAAAGGCGTGTGCGCAAAAAACAAACACACACACATACACACACATACACAACACACACACATACACACACATACACACACACACAAGCCCTTTGCACCCAAGGAGGTGCCCCAAGGAACGAGGAGTTCCAGGTATTCGGCAGCCATTTAGCCCCTCGCCTGTGACATCCTTCGGTGACTCTTGCCATTTTCCTGCCTGCTGCTCTGTACTGCTGGACAAAGTGTGCCCTTTACAACAGCTTTGACGATTTTGGATACAAGATTATGATCTTTGTCTTCTTGGGGCTCTTGTTCATTTACCAATACAGTGGGTGTAACCCGGTCCCAAATCCGGGCACAGCTGATCCTTGCTTGCTGGCCTATTTGATGCGACAAACAGATTTGCGGCAATTTTTGGGATCCCATACATACAGCTGTGAGGGTGAGGGTTGTCGTGGGACCACTACCACGACTGAAGCAGACACCTGGCAGTCCATTTTTCATAATGCAACTGCGAATAGTGGAAACCCGCCACCAGTGAGTGGTCACACTCAGTGCTTCCCATCGCCAGCTACCAATGTGCATAAGCGCAGTTTCAAAAGAGCATGCCGTAGGGCCATTCGTTTTGGGACAGCTGACTATCATGGACAGCGACTGCATTTGAGAGACTTTCCGGAAACCCTGATTTGTAAGTTAAGATCCAATGAGCCGAGCGTCCAGCCACACAGATCCATATCAGTACGTTCCAGCTCCAAGAGACTGACCTGTCTCTCATGGAACTCTGGTGGTATGTCTCAAGCTTCATTCCACGAGCTGAAGCACTGGCTCCGACTTCATCCAGTGGACATAGTGATGGTTGCGGAGACGCGTTGGGGCTTCGAATCTTTCTGGACAGATCAGGACTGGACCTATCTGCACTCTGCCACAGACGTGAAACGCAGTGGCGGCCTGTTGGTGATGCTCTCTCGACGCTTTGCCCATTCTTCTCAGATTGGTTACGATTGTGTGGTACCTGGCAGGATCCTGCACGTACGGGTTCATGGACATCAGACGGCCCTTGATCTTATTGCCATGTATCAGTTCACGGACTATCGCACTGATAGTTCCTATCGACAACGAGAGTCAGTCTGGACGGCATTTGATCAATGTCTTAGTACTATACCAGTACGGCATAATCTTCTGTGTGCAGGGGATTTCAACTGCGATCTCCAGGCCCACCCGCCGTGGGTTGGAACTACGAAATTTTTCTGGAAGACACAGAGTGTCACTGGTTCCACCCACAAGGATCAACAGAGGTTCCAAGACCTGCTTCGTGCTCATGGCCTGACTGCTGTGAATACATGGGGACGCTCAGGAGCCACTTTTGTGCATGGTACCTTTGGCAATAGAATTGATCATGTCCTCACCCGTATTGTTACCTGTGATGGGGCGGCAAAACACATTCAGTACTTGGAAGATGCGGATTTTGTCCCTTGCAATCAGTCCCATCACATCCCCATGATCAGTACGATTCGCAAACATCATAGGATGTATCACCAAGCCAATCGACCAACTGGCTGCACATATGCACAGAGAAATCAATGCCGCATTGCCAGTTTGGAGGAGAAGGAGGCGTGGCATCGCCTACGACAACAGGTCATTGCGACAGTGACATCCGCACACACAGAGGCGTCCCCTGAAGAATTCATTGTTGGGCTCCACAACCAACTTTCCCCTGTTTTTCACTCTCTTTTTCCCAATCATCCCATTCGTTTTCAACAGCCAGATTATTCGGAGTTTCACTTGACAACACAGGACAAATGGTTTCACCGCAGAGCACTTAAGGCTATTGTTTTTCCTTTTGGACGTAATTTTTTACGTAATGTCATGCAGGCCTGGCATCATTGCAGTCGGTATGGGTATCTCCAGCGTCGTCAACAGAAGCAGGCCAGACAGGCACGTCTACTTAGGTTCCAATCCTTGTGTCAAGAAGTTGACCGTGCAGCTAGGTTTCATGATTCTCATGCCATGTTTAACATCATCAACAAATTCACTCCGAAGCGACCACAAGCCAGGGCCAGACTCAAAGGTCCAGATGGACGCATAGCGGACCAATACCTTGCTCATTCCATGACAGTTGCTTTTGTCCAGCAGTTCTGGGCAGGCCCATCCCAACTGCCGACATATTCTGATCGTGCACCGGGGGTACCTTTTTCCTTTGATGTGCTGCTCAGGGCACTCACACGGCTGCATGCCAACAAGTCGGTTGCTCCACCGTTCTTACCGGCAATCATTTGGAAAAGTGCTCCATATGAAGTGGCCACTGTCCTGTATCAAAGTCTTCAAAGTTGGTGGAGCCAAAGTCCCCCAATGATACCCCAATCATGGAAAGACTCTTGGTTATACTTCATCCCTAAACCGGGTAAGCCCAATACACATCCATCTCAGATGAGGCCAATATCCCTGATGGAGCCCATGGGCAAACTGGTGTTAGGTTTGATTGCTTCCCTGGTTCAACAATCCCTTGTGCCCATTCTCACGTGTTTTCCACATTTTGGGTTCATGCCGAAGCGTGGTGCCATTGATGCAATTCAGCGTGTAGCTGGCCACAGCAGAGCAATCCGAGCTCTGGTAGGAACCCAGCGTCGGTCAGTCACCCAGCAGATGACACAGGTGCCAAAGCTTATCATGTGTGGAGGACTTTCCCTCTTTCTTGACATGTCCAGGGCTTTCGATTGTGCTAATCGTCGTCTTTTAATGGATCATCTCTTGGAACTAGGAACCCCCCCTGATCTGGTTCAGTTGGTTGCAAGTTGGCATGAAAATACACGATACAACATCCCTTTTCAACATGGCACTTCTTCAGTAACAGTTGGCAAAGGCTTGCGACAAGGATGCAAAATTGCTCCTCAATTGTGGGTGGTGTATTTGGACCGGTTTCTACGGCTGTTGGCTCCGCACACTGGACAACAGTGGATTAACGATTGCATAACAATTTATGCGGACGATGTGCATGTGGGTTGCAGTTTTACCTCACCACAAGAATTCATAACTCACCTGCATAATCTTGGACTTGTTTTGGATATTTTGGAACAACTTGAACTCCAGTTATCCTACCAAAAGTCTTTTGTGCTGTTGAAATATGCCGGTACCAACCCACGTCCAACTTTGAAAGGACGCATCCGTCGGCACGGCACTGACCACTGCTTGCTGGTGCCCAGACGTAATGGCTCAGCATCGGCCTTGCCTCTGAGAACCAAAGGGAGCTACCTTGGTGCAGTCATAAGCTATTCAGCACAGGAAACCCAGTCATGGCACCATCGCAGGCGCACAGCCTGGATTGCATTCAATCGACTCCGAAGTTGGCTCAGCCATAGGCAAATCAGCGTTCGACACCGCCTGTACCTCTGGAGACAATGTGTATTCACGGTGCTTACATATGCAATATTGGCCACACAAGTCACGATTCCTATTTTGCATGATTTTCAGGCCACCATTTATCGCATGATCAGGATTATAGTGGGTGACCATTCTTATTGCACACATCACACGCACCAACAGGTTTTTCAAACATTTGGCCTTGATCATCCGCTTGACATGCTCTCGGCCCTGGCCACATCTCAGCAGCAGCGTCTCAACAGGCGTGCTCTTGATCTTTTGCCCACCGACTTCTTGCATAGAGTGGATTGGACATCCATCACTGGAACCTTGCAACTCATTGCTTGCATCCGTGCATCCGTGACGGAGGTGCCCATTGATCTGGACGCCGCTGCACCTGTGCTGACCCAGGCCAGACTTCTTTGCCCGCACTGTGATTTTGCCACAACATCACTGCCAAACATGAGACGCCATTTGACGACGACTCATGGACTCCGACAGTATCGTACATCTCATGTCCCACCTGCTTACATGTCCCAGCATGGCGCACCACAATGTAAGAACTGTTTTCAGGTTTTTACTACATGGAATAGCTTTTATATTCATGTTCAACGTAATTGCTGCCAGGACATGGACCCAACTGTGTCAATGCCGACTGCTGACACTGTGCACCCGACTGCACCGGTGGTGACACCTACGGCAGCATTTGCCGCTGCCTCCCTGAGTTTTCATGTCATGACCCAAGTGTTCTGGCCAGAATTACAGACACTGTTGCTTCATGCTGACTGGATCAATTTTCCACGCAATGCTGCCATGTTGGAATACTTGTCTCACCATTGTGTCATTTGTGGCTTGTGGTGCAACCGATTCCAAGAATTGCATGGACATTTTCGACAGTGCCATCCGGACCATGTGCAAGGGTGTGTGGCTAAGGGAGCCCAAATCTCAGTACTCATGCAATGCACCTCACCGTGTACACTGTGCCAAAGGCCTTATAGCCGTGTTCACAGCTGTCCGGTCACGCTGCAACTTGGCCTGCTGCAGATTCAGACCCGTCCTGATGGTGATCGTGTGGCAGAGGCCTGTGCCTGCGACATTTGTGCCTTGCCCTTCCAGGACCTTGGACAATTGTATGGCCATTTGACGAACACTCATGGCCTTACTGTCAATGATTGGTGCCCTTCGAGGGACTCCCATCAGGGGGGTGACGGATGCCGTCACTGCGGCACAATTTTTGATAGCCGCTCAGGCTTGAGGCGTCACATCACTGAAGGTCGATGTGGGTCATTCAACCCGGCTGCGACGCCGCATCCGATTGACACCACTGATGCTTGGGGTGCTTGGCTGCAGACTGGCAATTTTGACCCTCCGGCCCTCACGGCCCAGATGCGCCTGCAGTTGACTACAATTTGTCAATTCTGTGGCCTGACCTACTCCCGCACAGGAGATTTAGTTGCACATCTACTGCAATCCCATGGAGATTTGTGGAATGGTTCCCAACCCTGGCTACGGTTTTTGCTGCAGGCAGTCATGGCCCGGAAGGGATGCCTTTGCAACCCCCAGAGCAATGAACTGGGACTCACGCATGTGTGTGCTTTGCTTCGACAGACGGCCATGATGATCCATGGTCAAGACCTGCGACTGTTTGTGCCGACCCAGTTTCATCCCACAGCTCTTGATGAGATTTTGACCTGTCTGCAACATGAGACCTTACACACCAAGGTGAAACATGCCCTGCTCAGTCGAGACTTTGCACAGCTTTGGCAGGACCCTGATATCCTTGCAGGTCTCAGGACGCGATGCATGACATGTGGCGGCCATTATGCCACGGCGGTACTCCTTCACCATCTTCTGGTGCAGCACCCGCAGACATGTGTGTGGGCCACTCAGATTGCTTTCCAGTTGCATCACTATTTACAAAGTATGCAGACTCGGGATTTTTGTTGCAGTTTATGCCAACAGGTTTTCAATTTGCCAGCAGATGATGATCAATCCATGACCCCTGACCGTTGCCGCCTTCAGCATCAGCATTTTGCTACGAACTGTCCTGTTGTTTTGCAGATTGCGGCCCTTCTCCATCCGATCCATGGACGCCCTGATGGATCCCAACGACCAGGCACTGATGGATGGTCTTCAGGCACTGGGCCCGTTGCTCCTGGGAGCCAGAAAACACTTGGATGGAAACGACGATCATCAGCCCAAGCGCCACAAGGCTTCACAAGACGGCGCACTGGCAGATCCAGCGTCGGCAGCCGCAATGACCGACATGCTGAGACTGATGGCCCAGCTCATTCTGAGCCACGAGAGGGCAATACAGTTGCAACTCCGCCAGGACTGCTTCGTTTTGTTTGCACAAGATCGACCAGAGGGCATCATACCCCACCTGAAGGCGATGGCACAGAACTGGCGCGAACAGGCGCCGAAGCATCAGGACGATCTGAAATGGCCCAATCTGAGGACCCACCTGATGGCCGGAGTGATCTCAGAGCTTCATCGACGAGTCCAGCAACTGGCGTCCTCGAAACAAGGAGAACAACTGTGGGACCTGGCAGTGGAGAAGGGGACCCTCCTTCCGGACGGGAGCTGGGGCTATCAGAAGTGGTGCCCGGACCTGAAGCAGCTGAAACGGGCATCACGTCCAGCCCTGGCCATGGCCCAGATGCTGCGGAACCTCCAGACGCTGGAAGAGCTGTTTCAGTCGAACAGCCACATCCAGAAGTTCCACAGTCTGAGGACGGATCAACCTACGATCCCCTGGCTCCTTCAACTGTCTCACAGAGACTCCGATGCCTGGTACCTGCTCCAGGACCTGTGTCAGAACACAGTGTGGTCCCTGTTAGGGATGTCGGTCAAACAGCACAACATGGCCCTTTCGAAACCAGCCCATTTGCTTCAACAAGCCCTGAATGGCCTGCCAACCCAGAAAGGGAAAGCGCGGGGGAAAGGGAAGGACACTCAGAAATCCACCCGTCGCCAATGACGTTTCAAGATCGGCAACGCCTGAGAGAACTCTTGCTGGGGCTTCAATTGAACAATTCAGGGACAACGTGCTATGCCAACAGTGCATTCCTTGCCTATGTATGGGCCAGTTTGTCCAGATGCCGTTTTCGATTTCATGATTGGGGCGCACGTTCAGCCACCCTGCAGACCATTCTTTGTGACAATGATGGTTCCCCTTTTTCCTTGGATGCGCAAGACTGGTTTGATTCACTTCTCCATGGCTGGAATGATCAACAGGGCCAAGCTGACAGTGCAGAGTTTGGGAATAGACTTGCCAGATGGCTTGCTTTGGATATCCTATCCAACCGCTGGGAAAGACGCGTGACTGCTTCTGATGTTACAGAAGTGCATGATCATGGAGACCGATTCATGCCACTGACGTTGCAATTGGACCCATCCCTGCTCAGCGGCAATGAGACCTCTCTCACAGCCCTGCTTAGGCACTGGAGCCAGGAGCTTGGAATGTGTGCGGGCCTCACTGACCCCAGAGAGCTGCTGGTCATTCATGTGGATCGAATGGTTATGACACCGTCAGGCAGCTTGATCAAGCATGCGGCAGTCATAAATTTTGCATGGGAAGTTCAGGTGCCGGTACTGGCCACGGATACCACACTGACCTCCATGTCATATACGATCGTTGCTGTCTCGGCCCACTTAGGTCACACCAACGGCGGCCATTATCAAACGATGTTGCGCACATATCCAGAGGTGTCTGATTTGGCCGCTCCCAGTATGTGGATGTTTTGTGATGACTGCAGACTTCCTGAGCGCTGCTGGGTCTTTCCTGATAACTTCAGCCAGGGCGTTACTGGATTTTGGCTCTGCCGCGCAGACAGCCTTGAAATGCATCTCATGGCTCAGCCGAGACCTCAACCGGATTCGGATTTGCTCACTGTGCTCTATGCTCACCCTGGGGTGACTGCCAATACATAGGCTGCCACGTTCAATAGCCTTGACATCCAGCGACTTTGGCAATGGCTATAGTTTTTGCATGGACAGTTTCTGCAGATTTGACGTGTTGTCAGACCCTCTGCACCCGGCTTCCCTGCCGGCTTGTCCCCTTCCTTTTGCATGCCCCTGAGCATCCCTCAGGTGTACCCCTTGGACCAGGGCCACCAAAAGAAGCCAAAAAAAAAAAAAAGAGGGGACCACCAAAAGAAGTCCAAAAAAAAAAACAAAACAAAACAATTCCACCACTGTTGCTTCCATAGTCTTGTTTCACATGATTCATTCCGTTTCACCCCATTCTGCACCAGCCTGGCATTTTGCCATGAAGGCTGACAGTTACCGGCATTTTGCTGCACCTTGTGAGTGATTTTGCACCATTTTGGTCTCTCTTGCCTTTGCGACCAGGATCACCCATTTTCCCCTTGCACCCGGCATCCCAGCCGGCTTATCCCCCACCTTTTGCAAGCCCCTGAGCATCCCTCAGGTGTACCCCTGGATCAGGGCCACCAAAAGAAGCCAAAAAAAAAAGGGGGACCACCAAAAGAAGTCAAAAAAAAAAACAATTGCTGTTGCTTCACACTATGTTTCACCAGCCATCTCACGTTTCATCTAGTAAACCCAAAGCCAGACCGGATGCCATGCTGAGGGACACCCGCTACCGGCATTTTGCTGCGAGTGACCTCTGAAGAATCTTCTGTTTGGCGTCTTTTGCCGCTGTGCTAGGTTTTTGCAGTTCCCCATTGCACCCGGCCTCCCGGCCGGCTTATCCCCTACCTATTTGCATGCCCCTGAGCAACCCTCAGGTGTACCGGCCCCTGGCTCTGGGCCACTATATGCAGCCCCAAAAAAAAAAAGATGACAAGCTGGATGGAGCCCGGCTCAATTTTGGCCTCTTGCAAGCAGTTTTTGCTGTGTGCTATGTTGGCACTGCCATTTACGCATCACCCACTGGCGTTCAACTGCAGTGACTGGACTTTTCCCACCTGTCCAAGTCACAAGATCTGGTGATGAGGGACTAGGATTCTCTAAATCATAGAGAACCATCCGTACCAATCGGATGAAGCGGCGAGCGCGATTTCAACTTTGAAAAGGAGCGTGAAAAAAAAACACACACACACAAGCCCCTTTGCGGCCGCGAGTGCCGCGCGCAAGTGTTCCCAATAGGTGGAACAAGGGTTGCCCCTCGCGTCCTCTGTGTCCGTTTTTTGCCGAGCCATTGCATCGTGATCTTCAGATTTCCTGCGAGGGTTCTTTTTTCTGGCACAGATCCTTGACGGAGGTGACACAATGAGTTTGGGCAAGATTGGAGTGAAGACAAAGTTTTTTATTTCAGGTTCTTTTTGGGAAGCAGCGACGAGACCTTGTGCAATCTGGTCAGTGACAATCAACTTGCTGCTGTACATTACACAAGTCAGAGGAGGTCCAACACTGTGGGGTGGCTCCCAACAACAGCTGACTGGCCGGACCTACCTCTGAGACAAATCGGACAGTGGACAACAACCTTACTTTTTCTTTATTTCTGCAACAATTCTTCAGAGCTTGACCAAGACATCTTTCTGGGATTTGCCACAAACGACGGTGCTTGAGCCAATTGGCACAGTTACACAGGCTATACACCAGAATCATCCACTTGCGGGCCACCTTGCCCTGCCTTGAAGACCATTGCTGCTGCAATCCAATTGGGCCATAGCGTGAACCACAACCACTGACAGATCCTTGACACAACCAATCTGGTGGTACAGCCCTTATCGTGGTGAGGACAAGACGTATACTCAAGCCGTGGTGGAACTTGCATTCAAGGCGTATACAGTGTTCCAGCTCTGCCTGCCAGTAATATCCAACTCACTCGATAACCCTTACCCATCAGATACACTGGCTCCACGCCAGCCCAATAAATAAAGAAAAATTGCCAGCCTCCAGAAAATTACTTTTCTAAGGTTGTTCCTCCTGTAATCCCTTAGTGCCTGAAACTATCCCAATAATCCAATCAATCCTAATCCAAAAGTACCTAACCCTAGGACCCTAATCTGAATACTTGTGGCCACTAAGCATAGACCAGCAGCTAGCCGCAATATCCGGTCCCAAGTCCGGACGTGTAGCGTGAGAAACCATTCCAATATGATGCCACCAACGCTACATGGGGGTGAGGGTTATGGATTTCAGCCGTGGGAATCCATGGAAGCCGCCTTTAACTCAAACCACCTGACCAACCTGCTAGAGGCGAAAGTGCACGGCCCACCGCCACCAAAGGGCTCCGGCCTGTTGAAAAACCTCACCAATCTGAAACAGATGACTCATGTACAGAAACGCAGCTTTAAACGTGCTTATGCACGAGCCCTAAGAGATGGTATTGCATGGTACGTTGGTCAACACCTGACTCCAGATGATTTTCCATGCAACATGCCTTGCCCAGTGAAATCGAGCCCCAGCAGACCTGCTGGTGTACCATCCAAGGCTCCCACCAATCGGATCAAAGACTCAATATTGTTCAGTTTAATGTAGGGGGTCTCTCCACTCATAAGCTTGAAGAAATTAAGCAATGGGGACTTCACATTCAGGCTGATATAATTGTGCTCTTAGAATCCCGTTGGAGCTTCTCATCCGAGTGGTCTGACGGGACATGGCATGCTTTGCATTCAGGAACCCCTGATGACCGTGCAGATGTTATCCTTGTGCTTTTTAGGTCCTCGACCATTCAGGAACATCAGATAGGCAGTGCCGCCATCATTCCTGGTCGACTTGTGCACATCAGGCTGCACTACCGCCAGAGAGCCTGCGATATCCTGTGCTGCTACAATTTCATGGACGACCGGTCCACGGCTAGATTGCAACAGCGTCAACAGTTTTGGAATGCTCTTGACGCCAGCCTTTCGAAAATCCCCAACCGGAACTCCCTTTTAATTGCAGGAGACATGAATTGCTCGGTTAGCCATGATCCCCCCCATGTAGGTACCAGCTATTTCACCTGGCAGGGTAAACACCACCTAGGACCCCAACATAGAGACATGACTACTTTCTCTCAGATCATCCATAAACACCAGCTGACAGTTCTAAATGGATGGAACGCCCAAAATGGACCCACTTATCACAATGGCCTCTCAGCATCAAGAATTGACCATTTTCTGATGCGTGCCACAGAGGCTGACGGAGCTGCTAAGGATGTCAAGTATTTGACCAATGCTGATATCATCCCACTAAATGGAGCGGTTCACATACCCCTATATTGCACCATCAAAAAATTCCACTTTTCCTATAAATCCCCAAAATCTTTTTCAGGGTATACCTACTACCAAAGGCAACAGTGCCGCATGGATTGGAGGACGGGTGCTGAGACTTGGCATCAAATGATGGCTGACACCCAATCAGCCTTCTACAACATGTGCAACCTTCCATATCAGGTTGATGATGACATCCAGCTTTTTCATGACACATTAAAAACTGGATTTCTTAATTCATACCCTGAAAAATCAAAAACACCCATTCCTGTCCCTGGAGTGCATGAAGGGATGATTCAACAAAAATGGTATTACCACAGACAGGTGCAATCCACCACATCACTGACGCTGCCAGCTCTGTTTCATGTATGGAAATGCCGCAGCAAGTATGCTGCACTCAACCGTGCACACAAGCTGAGCACCAAGCAACTCAAAAAGCAGCGCTTTTTTGACATGCTCGAGTCAGTGCAACATGCTGCCAACCGCCATGACAGTTTTGAGGTTCATCAGATCGTCAACAAATACACTCCAAAGCAGCCCAAAAAGAAGATACAGTTGTGGAATGATGATGGCACACCAGCATCACCGGAAGAGGCCCTGCAGCTCACCCGGACCTTTGTTGAGGAAATTTGGCATGGACCTGCTCAGGTTGATCTAGGCCACCGGGACCCCCCTGGGGTACCCATATCAGTGGATGACCTTGAGTATGAGTTGCGCAGGATTCCTCACAATAAGTCAGTGGCAAAGCCTTTCATTCCAGCCCTGGTAGTGAAAATGCACTCACATCTCATTGCCCCATGGCTTCATGCCCTACTTACATCATGGTGGTCTACCTCAGATCCTTATATACCGCTTGCTTGGAAAAGAGCTTGGGTGACGCTCATCCCCAAACCCCATAAGAGCCCGACTAAGGTAGGTAACCTCCGATGCATAGCATTGCAGGAGCCCCTGGGTAAGTGCGTGCTAGGTGCACTGACCCAAAAACTGCAACTGGCAGTGGGACCAGCTCTAAAAAGTCACCCGCAATTTGCATTCCTTCCCAACAGATCGACAGGAGATGCCATCAGACGCGTTGCAGCCCACTGTGAGGAAGTCAGATGCCTTGTGAAGACCCAAAGACGCTCAGCGCATCAAAGGGCTGCACAAGTTGAATTTTATGCCTGTTGTGGGGGCATACAAATATTCCTCGATATACAGAGGGCTTTTGATCAACTCCCCAGACAACGGTTATTTGAGCATTTAGACACATTGCATGACATGCCGGCGCTCACAACCTTACTGGCCCAATGGCACTCCAACACTGATTACTGTGTGGAGCAATCTGGCCAGTCAGTACTGGTCCCGACGGGACGTGGAGTGCGCCAGGGCTGTCGTGCAGCCCCTCTTTTGTGGAACGTTTTTTTGGATCAACTTTTTCAAAAACTGAGTGCGAAAATATCCCCAGAATGGGTCAGACAAACAGTCACAGCTTTTGCTGATGACATTCATCAAGGGTCCATTCTCCGATCACGCCACCAGCTGTTGCTTGAACTTGCCAGACTTGGCATGCTCCTAGATGCCCTTGAAGAAATGGGACTGACCTTATCCCTCGAAAAATCCTACATTTTGCTTGAAATTGCGGGCACGCACAGCCGCAAAATCAAATCAAAACTCCTGAAGCAGGAGGGCGCCATCACCTTTGTAGAGATACCTCGAGCTGACGGATCATTTAGTCGCATTCCAGTCAAAAGAAAAGCTGACTACCTTGGAACATGTTTGAGTTACACCGCGTTTGAACAATTGACATTCTCCAAAAGGGTCCAATGTGCAAGAATAACGTTTCATCGACTGCGCAGATGGTTGAGTTCACCACACATCGCATTGCACCATAGACTGCAGCTTTGGAGGGCCAGTGTTTTTTCCACGCTCACGTATGGCATGTTGGCAGTCAACATCACCCTGCCCATCCTTAAGAACTTTCAGCAGATAGTACTGGGCATGTACAGGAAGTTGACACGCAATCACAGTTTTCGCACTCGTGAAACGCATCAAGCCATCATGCACAGATACAACCTGGAACACCCGCTCCATATGCTGATGCGCCATGCCCAGCAGCTCAAATGCCTCACAGGCCAGAGAACTCAGATCCTGAGACCTGATGACATTGTGCTCACAGTTGATTGGAGTAATCTACAACAGAACTTGCAGCTCATGACCGTGGCTCTTGAGGTGCAAGCACCGCTGCACCCCAGTGCAGACAGTTCCCTGGAGGTGCCATTGCCTCTCATTTATGCCTGCCAATCCTGTTCTTTTGTGGCCACCTCGATTGCAAACTTGAGACGCCATCAAACCACTGCCCATGGTCAGCCACAATTCAGGACCAGCTTAGCGCACGCCATGTCATGTTCTGTAGGAGGTTTACCCCAATGCACTTTTTGTTATCAAGTTTTTGGCACGTGGAGACAATTTCAAGTTCATCTTGATCGCCAATGCTGTCAGGTGCGTCCATGTGACCAACACGTGAACCTCGATGCCCTTCTGCGTGAAGAAGAAGAAGCGCGCATTTTGCGCCTGCACCAGGGACTCACCGAGAACCTGATGAGCAAGCCGTTTGGCCCAGACCTGATCCAGCTGATACGTGAGCGCAACTGGAATAGCTTGGTGGATCACAGACAGGCCTGTGAATTCCTGGCTGCACAGTGCTGTATTTGTGACTTTCATTTCAGCAGACCGCAGGAACTGCACAGCCATCTGCGCGTGCACCATCCCAAATGGGTGCCACATACCTTCACCAAGGCCTCACAGTTATGCCGTAGCTATGCCAGGAACTCTCCATGCAGACACTGTGGACTCAGTTTTCGACAGGCTCATACGTGCCCCATCATCACCCAGGCAGCCATGCTGTTGCTCCACATGCCAGCTGCATCAGGCCATGGGGAGACACCGCCATTGGAAGCGCTGCGCTGCGAGGTCTGTGGACTTAGAGCTTCTAGCTTGGATGAAATCCACAGACATCTAGCTGACACTCATCGCCTGGCATTTCATGACTGGCAGCCTGAAAGGGATTTGATGGGGAAGGACCCCGCTTGCTCACACTGCTCCCGATGTTTTGCAGATGTGTCAGCAGTACGGCAGCACGTGACCTTAGGGCAATGTCCGATGTTCGACCCAAACCGTTCACCATACTTGTTGCCGATTGCCCCCATTTGGAATCAACTTTTTCAAACAGGTGATCTTCAACCTTTTTTGGAGGACTCCATGGTCAGAATGCGCATGACGTTGCACTGTGCACAATGCGATGCCCGGTACACAAGGTCAAACGACCTGATGCTGCACCTGCAAACGGCCCACTCGGCCATGTGGACCAGAGCTCAAGCGCTGACGAGGTTCCTGCTGAAGGTCTGGCTGCCTGAACACTCCTGTGTGTGCAATCCAAGTCTCAACAAGGTCACTCTGACCCATGTGTGCCCCTTTTACCGCCAGATTGCCATGCTGGCAACCAGATCGGCGATGGAGGTATTCCTACCATGGCCTGCTGACAGAGGAGCACTTGAAGCCATGTTGCATCACAGCCATCGCAATGCAGCCTGTGCCACCTTGATGGAAGCAGTTCATAGCAGGCAAGTGCGCATGATCTTGAGAGACCCAGCACTGCAGGAATTCTTACGGGAACACTGTGTTCTATGTGGTGGAGCCTTCCATCCAGCTCTCTTGAGAGACCATGTCCTTCAAGTCCATGCCTCAAAGCTGGAAGATGTGATTGATCTCCTGCCGTTTTTGTATGAAGAATGCACACAAGCGGCCCACACAGACCATCAGTGTGCACAGTGCAATCAGATTTTCAACTTGCCCTTGCTTGGTGACCCGCCGCTTTCGGAACAACATGCCAGGCAGACGCTGGTTTTAGCCCATTTTCAGCAGTGTCCGGTCATCCATCAACTGTGCCTCTTGCTGCAACATGGACGCCCCAGAAGGAGCGACACTGACAGGCCAGGAAGCTCAGGAACTTCTGGATGCCTTCGGAGCAATGGCCCCCCTGCTGAAGAAGTCCAGCCTGGCAACAAACGACGGAGGAAGGGATCACAAGAAGGCCAAGACACAGCACAAGCCCAAGGAGACGGACCAGCACGTCGACCTCCACCAGGTGGTACAACAGATGGCCAGACTCCTGCTGCGCCTGGACGTGGATCAGAATCTGATGAGAAGACAAGACTCTTTCGTCTTCTACATGCAAATGGAGCAAGAGTCAGTGATCCACGTGCTGAGCGCCAAGGCCAAGACATGGCATGCAGAGGTGACCCAACAGACGGGCCAAATGAAGACCCAAGACTGGCGGCCGCTTCGAGCCACACTGATGCATACCCTTGCCCTGACCTTGCAACACCGCTTGATGAAGCTCTACCAGAGCCAACCCTCGGATCCACTCTTTCAGACAGCCCTGCAGCACAGGCTTTTGAACGACAAAGGGGAGTTCTTCTTTCACAGGTGGGACACGGCCAGTCAATCTCTGACCCAGACCGACCAAACACCGGTGCCCATGGAACGCATGAAGCGGTATGTGGACCAATTGGTGGAGAACACAATGGACCCTGCCAACACGATCAAGTTCCACAGCCTGAAGCCCTCCGATCAGAAAATGACACCGTGGCTCCTGCAGATCTCCCTGCGTTGCGACGAACTGCAGACGCTGTTGGAAGCGTTGGTGGGCTGCAAGGTTTGGTGCCTTCTTGGGGCATCCCTGAAGGGACACACTCTGTATCAGAGCCATCAAGCCCAGCAGCTGAAGACCATGCTCGGGAAGGGCAAGGGCAAGAGCAAGAGCAATGGGAAGGGCAAGACACACACGTGAGCCCTGCAGCTCCCTATGAACGCCTGGCACTCATGGACGCCCTCAGCCAGCTGACCCTCACCAACACCGGCAATCAGTGCTTTGTGAATGCAGCTATGATGGCGACGCTTTGGGCTGTTCTGAGCCGGGTTGACTTTCAGTTTAGAGATTTGGGGCCAAAGGCCACCCTGATTGCAAGCAGCATCATGTCCTTCTCATTGGGTCCACTCAACCTTGCTGAACTGATGTGGTTTCAAGAGACGATGCAATCATGGCCAAACCCCACAAATCAGGGTGATCCAGTGGAATTTCTTTCACATGTTCTCAGGGGAATGCAATTTGGCGGCTTCAACATGAAGTGGGAACGTCGAATGCAGGAAGGCGAAACAGTCCGTATCATGGACCACAATGATACCCTGCGTCCAATTACGGTACAGTTTGATGAGTCTGACCCTGACGCCATCCATCATGGCTATACAGCACTGCAAACCATGCTTCACACTTGGGAATCCCAATATGGCATGCAAACTGCCCTGACTGATCCAACAGCCTTGGTATGCATCCACGTTGACCGCTTTGTCAACCAAGGCACTTCAGCTGTGACGAAAAGTGAGCGCCCTATTCATTTCCGTGGAAGCCTTTCCTTGCCCGTGTTTGATCACACAGGTCTTGAGGTCAGCAGGCGTGGCTACCAGGTCATGACGGCCATTGCACACCTAGGTACTGATGCTGCAGGCCACTGCAGGGCCCTTCTCAAAACGTGGCCCAAGGCTGCCCCAAATGAGGTCAATTTTTTGATCACTGAGGATGGCCAGCCACCGCAGAGGATCTGGGAGGAACCACATTGGTTCAAGCAGAATGTGACCTGCTTCCTGCTGTGCGATTGTGACAGCATTGACCTTTTCAAGATGCCAGTCCAGCCCGATCATGCGCCTGCGACGCCGTCCACCGACTCATCCAGTCCAGCTGATCCTGAGCTAAGCACCTTGCAGAGCCTGATCCGTGCCATGCCCAAGTAACTGAATGCTGCCTGCAATGTATCTGAGATCAGTGCACAACTGTAGCACTTGCATTTCCATCCTAGCTGAAGTCACACTGCCGTTTCACCCAGCCGATACCCCATTAAGCCCTCACGACCAGTGAGTGAAATCCCCCCCCCAAAAAAAAAACACTGGTCCAAGAGGCAACTGCCCATCGTTTCAAGAAGGCCAGTATAAAACAAAAAAAAAACTGGTCCAAGAGGCATAGCCCAACGTTTCACGAAGACCAGTATAAAAAAAAGCATGGTTTTGCCGAGCATGAATTTGATGCATGCACGTGCAGCTCTGTCAATGGACAGTACTACTAGCTTCTTTTGGCAGTGTGACGTTTCACCTCAACTACATTTTGCAGACCTTTTTCCATCGGAGTTTTTGGGCTAGAGCTGCCTGCTCCGTGAGGTTTTTCACAAAGACCTCCATCCCTGGAGGCCAACATGAGTCATCCACATGTTGAGGCGCGCACGAGACTTTTCTTGGAAAAGGAGTGTAGGAAAAAAAACACACACACATACACATACACACATACACACACACATACACACATACACATACATACATACACACACATACACATGCATACGCATACATATACATACACATACATACACATACATGCGCATACACATACACATACACACACATACACATACATACATGCATACATGCATCCATGAATCCATACATCCATACATCCATCCACCCATCCACCCATCCACCCATCCATCCCTTCATCCATCCATCCATCCATCCACCCATCCATCCATCCATCCATCCATCCATCCATCCATCCATCCATCCATACACACATTACCACATGTACATTACATTACATTATAGTACATTACAGTACAGTACAGTACATTACAGTACATTACATTACATTACTTTACATTGCATTACATCGCATTACATTAGGTTACATTACATTACATTATATGTATATATATATATATATTTTTTTTTTTTAAATATACATACGTATATTATATGCATGTATAGATACATATGTATAGGCGTGAATCCAAAAAATGGTGAATGGAGACGCAGATTGAGCGAGAGAGAGAGAGAGAGAGAGAGAGAGGGAGAGAGAGGGAGAGAGAGAGAGAGACAGATGAAGATTGAGAATGAATATATCTTTTAGGACGTGCACCTTTCTCATTTTAGAGTGGCTCTTGTGCCAGGACTGCCAAGCTGAGACTGTGAAACAGAGGTGCAGCATGAAGCGTGAATTTTGGGTCAGATAAGTGGTTGTACACATGGTTAAATGCTAGAACTCCAGCTTTCTATGGGTTCAGAGCGCAAATTTCTGAGCCATAGCCAAGTGGATGGCTTGTATCCTCTCTAGACTCTAAATCTGGGATAAAGAGGCCAGCAACCCTGAAATAATTTCGGAGCAATTGAAAATCACTCAGGTTACCTTGAAGACTCTGCGAGCTCAAAGTGAGGTTCTTCATTTGACCAAGGCCATCCCATTTTAATGAAACTGTTGAGGTCCAGGGCACTTCGATAAGTCTCACTTGCGGAAGCAAGACGGTCAAAACTCAACGCTCCTCCAAACAAAAAGACGGTTGAATATCCCAACCCTCATCCATTCTCAATTTTGTTCTGTATGTATGAGAACGTGCACACACACATAGTCATATATATATAATATAATATAATAATAATATATATATATATCATATAATATAATATAATATAACATAATATAATATAATATATTATGATATAATATATATATATATATTAATATATATATATATTATAATATATCTATATATTATATATTATATTATATTATATTATATTATAAATTATATATTATCTATTATATAAAATATATTATATATCATATATATATTATATATTATATATTTTATATTGTATATTATATATTATATATCATGTATCATATATTATATATTATGTATTATATATTATATATTATATATTATATTATATTACATATTATATATTATATTATATTACATATTATATATTATATATTATATATTATATATTATATATTATATATTATATATTATATATTATATTATATATTATATTATATATATATATAAATATAAATAGTATATATTATATGTTATATATTATATATTATATATCATATATTATATATTTAATATCTATCCATATGTATTTGGTAGGTTAAATCCCGCCTTCCGAGCCCGCACTCCCCACATCTTCCATCATCCTAGGTTCTCGGCGGCGCTTTCACGGCTGAAGACTGGGGAGATGCACTACAAACCCGGTCAGGCCCTGGCGGTGGATGGGATCTCCATCTTTTCCCACTTGAACTCGGCCATCCAGACCTACAGGCTGCCCGCTGGGGCCTTGGGGCCTGGTCGACCCGCGAACCGCGAACCAGAAATGGCTAAAAATGGTAAACTCCACAATTCCAGGTTTATTTTTGAGACCACTGTACGGAGGAGATGGAAGTGAGCCCGAATATTTGGTTTTCTATATTTCCAGCTGAATGCAGCTTGTAGATTTTGCAAGCTGATTTTCCACTAGCTGGCAAATCACCATCTTCAATGGGCACCCCCGAACCAACGCAACCCGAGTTGATTCATTGGGAGGGGTACCCCGAGAAAGTGATAATGATAATGGAAATCATTCGATCTGAGAAACGGTACGATCCCGATGTAAAAAATATTGCAGAAAGAAAGTGCAGCGTTGTTAAATTGAACGCCGATGTCGTTTCTTCATGTTTCTTCCATCAACCAACGGTAAACCTGTCAACAAGCCTCCAAGTAACCCCCAGAGTACCCATTATTCATAACCATTATTAAGCCACTAAATGCCATTAATAATATTAGGACCATTGGGTTTACCACGGTACTCATATTCCTATCTATCTATATATATATGATCCATATATTATCATATATTATCCATATATTATCATTTATATTCCCACATTCCATCCAACCTTTGTACATTTTACTGAAGAAAATCATTATTCGCGAGGAACACCCGGCAATCCTTCAACTTTGGGACGGAACTGGGTACCTTGCTGTCGCGCCTGGCTCCAGAGGCCCAACCGGTGTCGCGATGGGATGAAAAGAACATGATAGCGACTTTCATAAATATCCGTGGTATATATATAGTGTATATTATGTGTATATATATAAAATATTGTATATATATATATATAGTGTATATTATGCATATATATATATATAAAATTGTATATATATATACATACACTGAAGATTTCGTCATGGTTGAGGGAGAGATCGCATTATGTGCGTAGAGACTTGCATATACATGTGCCCTCATACAGTATAAGCAAAGTTACGCAAGACATTTCGACAATGGAGGCCAGAATATCACCAACAAACATGAGAGAACTTCCGCTGATCTTCAGCAACTCTGTGACAGGTGTCCACTTCCGAGGCTTTGGCTGGGAGCCATCTGAGAAACTGGACATCGGCAGTTGCTATACGATGTATTCAGGTAGCTGTCATCTTTGAAACCCCGGCCATCAGGCTTCAAACCTTCCGGTTCCAAATGTATCCAAGTCTCTCTGGACAGTTCGACAGGAACCAGAGTCTTCCAGTTCCCGGTCGTCTCTTGGCATGGTTTAGCGGGTCTAGCGCCCTCGGTGCTGAGTGCCATCTGGGCAAATGGCTTCACATCCACATGAGGCCACAGGATACCCATGACACCCATGATGTATTTCTATATAATAAAAACACTCCGAGCGAATTCAATACAGACTGAGCGCGGGGTGTAATCCGAAATGTCCCAGTCAGGGTCCCTCAAATTGGGACTGAAGCTCAGCCCTGAAATCCTATACGGTGCTTGTAAAGTGCTTGCGCTGTATATAAAGCATACGTAACGAGACATAGTTGGAAATGAAGCAATAGACAAATAACAAAATACCTGAAATTAAATAGATACACCATTAATTGAACTAATTACATAATTAAATAACTAAATAATAAATAAATGAATGACCATTAAATCAATAAATCATGAATAAATGAATAAATTAACAAATTAATAAATAAATGCACACACACACACACACTGTATCTGTATCTATATCTGTATCTGTACATTTACATGTACATGTATATGTATATGTATATGTATATGTGTATATAAATGTGTGTGTGTAACTGCACCCAATCCGTGAGCCGGGGTGTTTCCACCTCTAGATCCCCGCAGCCGCGGCTCAGGGGGCTAAAGCTGCGTGGCACTGGCAGTGACATGACTGACATGACTGGCGCGACGGCCGAATAGTGGCGGCAATGGCCAAGAAGAGCCATACCAGAGGGTGTGTCTGAGAATTGCTCCCCCCCCAGTTATAGCAGTTATAGCAATTTTTGACAGAGGAAATGGATGGAAATGATGATGAGCCAGCAATATTTTTGAGGTACACCCTCTTTTCAGACCAACCTATGAGGCCATGGCTCAAAACTACCGAATCCCCAAGAATTGGATCGTTTGGAGAAGTTAATTAGTGAACAACAAATATAAACATATGATTCATATGATCAATGGGTTTATATTTTTTTCAATAATTTGAACCATAGCCAACCAACCAGCCCCAACGAAACCCTGCTACCGGGCGTCAAAGCTATGCGCTTGGCGGCTTCGCCCTGGGTGGACATGGTTTCTGTGAGTCAAACATCCACGGATTTCCACGTCTTTCCCTCGTTAGACGGACCTCGGCGGAGCTGCACCTGGGAGCTGTGTGCCGTGTGTGCCATGTGTGCCGTGTGTCTTGGCTCCAGATGAAGACCTGATGGACATTTCCAAGAACGCCAGCTGAAGGCTACCACGTGCACCCAACAGTGCGTTTGGAACCCTAAGGGATGGCCGTTTCATGCCGTGTCCAAATATGTGAACCTGAGAATGAATCAAAAAAACGCCCGAAAAGAAGAATAGCAAGTTCCCAACAGGAACAGATTTGCTTGGCTCAGCTTCTGCCGGTTGTAACACACCTAGCCACAGCTGATTTCCCCATGAGCCTGGCCCTGACAGCTGCGCCACTATGGTGGGGCCTGGTTGACGGATGGTGGGTTTGGGTCAAACGATGTTTATTTGGCTTTCTATGGGTGTCCGACTTCTTGTCAGGTGCACTGCACGGGGATGGGTCACCTTGTGAAAATGGGACTTCCGGTGTGGATCCAATACCAACCTCGGATTGATAGACCCTGCAGACCCTGGTGATTTTTTGTCCCGCCAGGACCACCTGCCACTGCAGGCGATCGGCCGAATCTCCAACTGGGCCAGCGACCTCTTCTTCCCGGAGGGACGGGAGGGGTCACGGCCAGGGAGTCAAGAGAGGCGAAGCCATGAAACATTGGCGGCTCGCATTTCTCAGGCGCCGCTGCTGGAAGGGAGAGGATATTGTCGTTGATGTCTGACCGGTGGTTCATGCTGGTTCTACAGTATTTTCTCGTATTTTGGACTGTACTTGTACAGGAGCTTTCTCAACATGGACGATTCCAAGGAACTTCCGTGATAAGATCCCCATAAGATCCCCATTCCCTACAACGTTTGGCTGGTTTTCATTGGCGCTTTGGGTGCTGCACAGGCTGGACGGCAGGTTCTAGAGGCCTGGCCCTGTTCAATTGAGTTGGACTGCAGACTTTCGCGTCATTCTCGTCGTCATCATCACGATGACAACAATCGTATTGATAGTATATAGCGGTAAAGGAATAACACAACAACAAAAACAATAGTAACAGACAACAATTCATCGTGGCACCATCTAGTATCACACCATTCCATCTAATTATTTAATATCAATGGTTTGTATTATACACTGAGGGGATGGTATTATACACTGGTGGAACAAGTGATGACGATCATGAGCATCACTATCTACTGGTGGACTTTTTCAATGATCATGGTGGTGCCCCCTAGTTGCAAGTTGGTTTCTAATCCCATCCAACTAACAAAACATATCAAAAAATACATGACTTCATGACTTCATGACCCCATCTAGTTATAACATGTTACCCTCTGGCAAACTAACATAGCTATGGAAAATGGCCCATTTACCATTTATAGATGGTTTACCTATTAAAAATGGTGATTTTCTATAGCTATGTTAGTTTACCAGAGGGTACATGTTATAACAGTTACATGCCCCGCAACGTAGCCGCTCCGCCGCGCCAGGCCGACCGATCCAGTGAGGGCTGGACTTTTGTTGCTCCATCCCCTGCACCGTTGCTGTCTCGCGAGGCGGGATATGACATCATCGTTCTGTGTTTTTGGGGATATGGCATCAAGTGTGTGTGTATATATATATATATATGTGTGTGAATATGTATATATATATATCCATCCTTATAGACATGTATAGATATTATACGTGTGTTCTAGATGTAAGTAAGGAGGGTCTTTTGTTAGATTGCATTCCCCAGTCCTGGAGACCTTTTGAACACATGGCGGATTTAACCATCAGAAACAACTTCTATGGCAAACCCAGAGCCATACATCATCTTGCGGGCTACTAAAAATCCTTTGCTCCCCAAGAAAGGGTGTTTGGCGTGGGGGTATCCAAGACTGCTTGGGATATGTTTGCATGCTTCGAAACAATGATCTCCAGCAATTAATTCCATTGCTCTTAAGGTCAGTCCAGTAAACATTGGTGGGTGCTCAGGTTTGAGTCAATGGATGCTCGGAACTCTGGGTGTTTGTGCCTTCGTCGTGTATGCCAGCAGCATTGTCGTATCTAAACATTTTCCCCAAAATCCGGAAGATTTATGGCATTTTATGGCTCATCCCGAGCCGGCCCCTCGTGGATAAAAAAGCGTTGCCGCCGCGATGCCGCAGCTGGGGCGGCCGAAGTTCGATCGAGTGAGTGCTCCGGAAGTGGAGCATGGACTGGTCAGACCCATTCGATATGTGGAAAACCGAGGATCTGCACAAAGCCCCTTGGTTGGTAATGGATTGATTTCAACATCTACAGTTTCAACTTCATGTTTACCACCAAATTGATCGGGGCTTCAACCAATATTTCCTTGAGCTACTTCTCTGGGAAGCGAAGCTTGGGGGTCGGTGATGGAAGAAGATCTGGAATTCATATGAATTCATGAGATGAATGACCTAAGGCCCGGGTTTCGACGAAACGGGTAATTATAGAACCTACAGACATGTTTTCTTCGTTGGAGTTGGGGAGTTGGGCCGGCCATGGCGACTCAGGAGTTGCAGATGCTTTTCGGGATGGAAAAGCGGTGATCCTGGAACAGGAATTTGATCCGAAGCCCTGGAAGAGTCAGATGTTTTCGGCCATGACGGATGCGACCAGCTTTTTGGTGGCAGCCAGATACTACATGAAGCTGGATCCACAGACCAAGAAGGAGGGGTGTGGCACATTGTTTTTTTGACGCCAAAAAAACTCCCCCGCAAAAAAGCCCAAGAATATCCAAGAATGCTTTTTGAAGACGGTCTATGTATGTCTATGTCACATGTCACTTTGTTTCACATAAAGTCAACCAGTTTCAAGAAATGGGGATCCCAAGAGAGCCACTTCCAACCGTGGCCCTCACCATATCCGGCGGTTCAGGAGTTCTTTCGACCGAGCGCCTGTGGACTGGAACCAGAGCTGGTGGAGCTGCCCGGCAAAGAGTGCGTGCACCTGTCCAAAGCGATGGCTGCTGGGCTGGTAGCTGGTAGCGTTGATCCCCCTGCAACGCCAGCTGGATCTACGAATTGAGTTTTAACAAAAACAAATGACGCCTGAAACGTCTCCACACAAAATCAGTTTATTTCTCCTGGATTCATGAGCCAACTGTTTTTTTTTGGGGGGGAACTTCGCAGATGAGACAGCCATGAAAGGCTGGTGCCTATAGCAAATAATCATGATATATCATGATCAAGATAAGATAAGATTAGACTCGATAGGATTAGTTAGATTGGAAGCAGGTTGGATTGGCCTGTACTGGGTTGGATTGGATAGGTCAACAAATTAATGAATCAACAAACCAGCAAAAAGAGGGAACAAATCAATGCATCAGCGATAAGTCTCCAGACAAGTAAATCAATGAATAGCGAGATAATATTGTATCATACTATCACGCTATATCTATACAGATGTATATCCGCGTCTAAATCTCTCTCTCTCTCTCCCTCTCTCTCCCCCTTCCTCTCTGTCTCTCTCAAACCCACGGATCTATATCTATACAGGTATATCAGCCAAATCCATCCAAATCCATTAAACAGATATCAATAAATCCATCCGTAAATACCCACAAACAGACATACATAAATACACACACACACAAAAATAGATAGATAGATAGATAGATAGATAGATAGAGAGATAGAGAGATAGAGAGATAGAGAGATAGAGAGATAGAGAGATAGAGAGATAGAGAGATAGACAGATAGACAGATAGACAGACAGACAGACAGATAGACAGATAGACAGATAGACAGATAGACAGATAGACAGATAGACAGATAGACAGATAGACAGATAGACAGATAGATAGATAGATAGATAGATAGATAGATATAAATAGATAGATATAAATAGATATGATATGATATAGAAATGCATATATATATATAAAATATATATACACATGCATATGTATGTAGAACGACCTTTCGTTTCCAAGTCGTTTCTATTTCGTATTTTTTTTAGGGAGTTTGCGTCGGAGGGTTCTGACTGATTTATTGATCTTTGATCCTGAGCCTTGATTCATTCTTCTGTCCTTGCGTACCGACGGCACAGACAGTGTTTGGCACCAACAGAACAGAACAGATGTAGATACATAATGATACATAAGCATATGGATAGATATGATAGATATGAAATATAGATATGTATGTAGATATATAAGAATAGATATGGATAGATATGGAATATAAATCTTCCACGCCATCAATCGTCAGGTGGAGCGGCAGGAGGAGTGCGCCGCCCGGGCGGCCTTCCGCGGCTTCGATCGCCTGGCGCGGGGGCTGCTGCTGACGCTGCAGGCGGCCGAGCCCAGCTTCCAACCCGACGTGGCGCGGCAAGGGCGCCATGGGGGGCCATGGGGAAGCAGCAAAAGTAGGGAGTTCACCCAAAACTATGGGATTTTATAGAAAACATGGGGGATGAAGCAGAGTTTAAACAGGATTTAAACATAGAAATTGAGATTTGAACAGAGAAAAACATGGTATTGAACCAAGAAGAGTTGACAAGATTTGTGATTAAACCAGAAGAAATGGCGGTTGATTTCGTTTTAACTAAAAGAAATGGGGTTTAACAAGAAAAACAGGGACTTGACCAAGAACCATGGGATTTTGACATGACATGACAAGAAAACATTATAAAAACTGCGATTTAGACTTCACTTGCTCCAGATGATGGGGACGGGGATGGGGATAGGGATTTCGTGAGGTTGAGATACGATATATCAAAAATATGACATTTCATACATTTTCGATGAACTGAGGTTGTGATTAGGCTGTTGGGAGATTTTCCGGAGGGACATGAGTCATGACTTCTTATATGAGGGTATGGTATTTGATTGATGTGGTGATTTTTGGGAGAGCATTTCTTTGAATAATGTGTAGATTTTGTAGCAAAAATTGGGGTAGATCATTGAAGGGAAAACTGGGGTATGGTGAGGGGTGATCCCGATGAGCTTGGACAATTTTGATATGGGATTCTTACCAAAATATTTCAATAGGACCCAGGAGGGGATTGGGTAATGAGACCTAGCATCCCCAGCTGGATAAATAGGATAGTTTGGAGGCGCGTGTCCCATTGAACTCTTACATGGATAGACATGATATGGTCTGTAAGCGTGCGATATGTAATTATCATGTTCAACGCCAGCGGCATCAACCACGAAACAGTCAGTAGTTAGACTTTTGAAGACCTACCAGCAACATCAAACAACATTGACAAGACAAATGGGTGGTTGCAAGCTCGATCCGATGCAGATGTACCAGCATCAATCCAATTGGGCAGAACATGTGCTTTTGAGATCCCTCTTTTGGGCTAAAACCCATGGCTAAAATCGGTAAAACATCCCTTGAATCAACCCACTGAACCATGACGCCCCTTCGGGAGCTGGTGCGAGGTCTACGGTGACGATCAGGGCCACTTCACAGCGGGTGCTGGTCTGCTGGCGGCACATAGATATGATATGGAAAATCCATGGGTTTCCCAGGGAAAATGACCTACTTTCAAAATCAAACCTGGCCATGGACAATCCACTAGTTAGTTTGATGTTTCTCCCACTTCAACGCTGATGTATTAGGGGCTTCCCAGCCATGTTTGATTAGCGCAGGCTACGGGATGAGGTTGATCCCGTGAAAGTGGTTTGAACCGCGATTGCTGGTGGTTTGATGATTTTCATCCCATCAAAAAAAAGTTGTTTGAATTTTAGCTGATTGGTGGTTTCATTTTTTTTTTTAGCTGATTGGTGGTTTCACAATGTTTTTAACTAAGTTGTTTGATGTTTTTCCGAAAATCCATCCTACCTAGTATGATCCAAAAAAAACCAGATAGGTCCAGCTCAGGTGTGTACAGGGACAAGCTGAAACCTCTGCTTGACAGCACTGATGCCGGTCACCTTTTAAGCATATTTTCCTACACCGGAGAAGGCGCTTGTATCGAGCATGTGGATCGAGGATTCATTACCTTGGTGACCAAGTCGCAGGAGGAATGGGGGTTGGTTATACCACCCGCTTTGTGTAAAAAGTTAGCGTTTGTTGATGAAAATTATATAGTTTTCTACCTTACCATACTGGGCAACCCAATTGATTGAGCTGTTCTTATTTATCCGCATGAATGTTTCTAAGTGTTATCATCCACCAGTCCATCACTAACCCACAGCAGTTGCAGAAATAACAGGCCCAAAACCTACGACATAATACATGGCGAAACGGGCCGGGAATGGCACTGGAAATCTTTCAGAGTTGCCCAGGTGACGAATACTGACGGTGCCCTACAGGTCCAAGATGCCCAAAGCAGGTGGCTGGATGTGCCGCAGACCAATGGCTTGGTAGCCTTCGACACTTGGAGAAGTTCCGGGGAAATGTCGGGGCTGTTGTGACTGAAAAAGTTGCCATTCCTGGGTCAAGCTGCTTGGAAACACATTTTTTTTTGGGGGTTATGTATATATATATATATACTATACATATTAATATATATATATGTTTATTTTAGGTAAATACCACAAATATGAATAGACACTAAAGATTCAAACTCTATCGGGTTGAACATGGACCAGGCTACTGTCCAATCCTCAGAAACAGACCGAACAGAGAGGTTTCTCACGGCTTTCCCTGACTGATGTCGTATATGTATTGCTCACCCAGGCGGGAAAGACCTTGGAGTTCTTGACTCAAGGCCAGGGTTTCAGGCTGGTGAACCACAACAAAATCTGTACATTTTCTCGGCCAATTCATTGGTTCCAAAATCTCCCAATACACAACAAGTACTCAATCTCAACAATACTGAACTCAATGATACTCAACAAGTTTCAACCATACTATGAAAAGGTGGCATCCGACCCCAGCATCCAACCCCCTGAAGGAAAGTACCGTGCGGTGCCGCATCGCATCGCGCCGCGCAAAGCCACCGGCCGGGTGAGCCTGGCTTTCAAGCTGAGAGCTCCTCTGGCAGCGGAGCTGGTGCTGCAAAATGGAGATGTGACCACGGCCCGCTTGGGCGCGGCTGGGGGTTGAGCGGGTCATGGGAGAAAAACCATAAAAGATATAAAAGGGGCACTTTTTTACAGCCGTTAGATTATCGTTAGATGTTGGAGTATGTGAAGCATAAATGATGATAAAACATAGAAATATATAGAACACTTTCCGACAGGTGGCCAGGGATGATTCTAGCGACTGGTTGTCATCTCATCAATGGCTGTAGAACCTTGGTTAACCATGGTTAACCACCATATACCAGTGATGCACATCGAAGTTGGGGTGAGGCTTCAAATCTGCACCATCTCCAGACATCTCCAGACTAGTGACTAGGTTTCTCACCGTACATGGAGGAGAAAGACTCTTCTGTTGATTTTCACCCACTGTGGTTGGTTTCCAGATTTTCGTTGGTTCAGTTCTCCGTAGGAATATCATGGAATATCTCGAATCACGGTATTAGTCTGTTTGCCTCCTTCTGTTTGTTATGATCTAAAGGGCAACCCATGACTCGCAGTCGATTTTTCCTTCAGCCCCAGTGATGGATCGGAACCCGGCATTTTCCCCAATTCCTCACCAAAAAACTATAACTGCCCCAGCCAACAAATATAGGGGGCACCGAAAACAACATCCAAATTTCCATCACAAAAGATCACAAAACGTTAAAAAATCAGCGAAAAAAACGCGAAAAATCCCGAACAGGTGGGCCAGCTCTTCGAGAACCACGTGGACGCCGTGGGTCTCTCCATCAATCAGCCGTCCAGAACTGCTGCCGTAGGCTCCTCGCTGGCCCCCCACGGGCAGCGCGGGCCCCACGGGGGCTATGGCGAGGCGGAGGCGGAGGCCGCGCATGGTGCCAAGTGACTTGGACAATTGGATGGGAGGGACGGCATTGAACACACACACTAGATAAGAATGGATCATTGTAGTGATCCGGCAGGAACTGAATCCTGTAACATGCAAATTAGATGAGAAACAAATTAATCTACGACGTATCCTACGAATAATGGAAGTTCTGTCTGTCTGTCTGTCTATCCTATCTTCCTATCTATCCTATCTATCCTATCCTATCCTATCCTATCCCATCCCATCCCATCCCATCCTATCCTATCCTATCTATCCTATCTATCCTCTATATCTATCTATCTATCCTATCTTCCTATCTATCCTATCTATCCTATCTATCCTATCTATCCATCTATCCATCTATCCATCTATCGATCTATTGATCTGTCCATCTATCTATCTATCTATCTACCTATCTACCTATCTATCTATCTACCTATCTATCTATCTATCTACCTATCCTATCCTATCCTATCCTATCCTATCTATCTATCTTACTTATCTTACTTATCTTACTTATCTTACTTATCTTACTTATCTTACTTATCTTACTTATCTATCTATCTATCTATCTATCTAGCTATCTATCTATCTATCTATCTATCTATGCTCTCTATGCTCTCTATGCTCTCTATGCTGCCTATGCTCTCTATGCTGTCTATGCTCTCTATGCTGTCTATGCTGTCTATGCTGTCTATGCTGTCTATGCTGTCTATGCTGTCTATGCTGTCTATGCTGTCTATTATGTCTATCCTGTCTATCTTGTCTAATCTCTAATCTCTATCTAATCTATCTAATCTATCTAATCTATCTTCTCTATCTAATCTATCTTCTCTATCTAATCTATCTTCTCTATCTAATCTATCTAATCTATCTAATCTATCTAATCGAATCTATCTATCTATCTAATCTATCTAATCTATCTAATCTATCTAATCTATCTACCCTATCTACCCTATCTACCCTATCTACCCTATCTACCCTATCTACCCTATCTACCCTATCTATCCTATCTATCCTATCTATCCTATCTATCCTATCTATCTTATCTATCTTATCTATCTTATATATCTTATCTACCTATCTATCCTATCTACCCTATCTACCCTATCTACCCTATCTACCCTATCTACCCTATCTACCCTATCTATCCTATCTATCGAATCTATCGAATCTATCGAATCTATCGAATCTATCGAATCTATCGAATCTATCGAATCTATCGAATCTATCGAATCTATCGAATCTATCTAATCTATCGAATCTATCTAATCTATCGAATCTATCTAATCTATCTAATCTATCTAATCTATCTAATCTATCTAATCTATCTAATCTATCTAATCTATCTTCTCTATCTTCTCTATCTTATCTATCTTCTCTATCTTCTCTATCTTCTCTATCTTTTCTATCTTCTCTATCTTCTCTATCTTATCTATCTTATCTATCTAATCTATCTACAGTAATCTATCTAATCTATCGAATCTATCTAATCTATCCAATCTATCTAATCTATCTAATCTATCTATCTAATCTATCTAATCTATCTAATCTGTCTAATCTATCGAATCTATCGAATCTACCTAACCTATCTAACCTATCTAATCTATCTAATCTATCTAATCTATCTAATCTACCTAATCTATCTAATCTATCTAACCTATCTAATCTATCTAATCTATCTAATCTATCTAATCTATCTAATCTATCTAATCTATCTAATCTTATCTATCTATCTATCTATCTTTCTATCTATCTATCTATCTATCTATCTATCTATCTATCTATCTATCTTATCTATCTCTCTCTCTCTCTCTCTTCTTGATTGATATCCATTGATAATCTCAATGCCACCACCTGTTTTTTTCTTCCAGTTGAAGACGTTTTTGGATTTGTGCCGGGTTCTTGTGGGGTCACCATGGCAGTCCGCTGCTTGGTTGATCAATTGAGTGGTGCAGGTTGGTACACATGTTTCACCATCAAATAGATTTTACTGAAGTTATTAAACTATATTGATATTCAATATACAGTCTAGTATATCAATTACAAATATATTACCATAGTACCACATATCACATTACCTTTTTTTAATAACTTCAACGTTTTGTTGATAAATCCACTTCTTGCGTCAAAACCAATAGTGTCTGCTAACACCCATGAATTTATCGCGTATGTCAAACCATGATAAACCCAAGCGTGTCAAGGTAACAGAATAGCAATTGTATATCGACTGTAGTCACACAACAAACAATTTAAGGCACATTCGAAAGAAGTCATTTTTTGGTCAACTTCCGGGTGAATTTTCAAAAAAACAGGTCCATTTTCCGACATTTTCCTCCATGTTTCGAGGTTGGCCAGCTCTGCGGGTGCCGTCACGGTGATGCCCTTGTTCCAGTCCTGTGAGCTTCCAGCCTTCCTCGCCTGCAGGGCCGTGTGCCGAGAATGGCTTGGCGCCTCGCCGGAAAAATCGATGGATCCGATGTCCGGAACGAACGATGATTTAGGGCCACTCAAAACCATGGTGATTTGTGGTGATTTTGTACTGAGTTGCCAGGCATATCTGATAAGTAAATACCTTAAATTTATTGAAAACCATGAATAGAAAGTAAAGATTAAAATCCGAACATGGACTAAGATGAACCGAACTGTCTTTTGATGTATTGTATAGTATAATGTAATCCTATCCCCCTGATATCAAATGCCTTGATATGGACCCCACAAAGAACAGATTCAATACTGAATCAGGGTTTCGATTGCATTCAATACTAGGAGAACGGGATTACACACGATGCATGTTTATTATCGGGGTTATGTCCCATTTCTGAACTACAAACTAGGTTGAATACCAGATCATGGCGGTATACGGTATACCTAATTGTACATGCAGTAATTGCCTTTTTATGGAGAGTGCATAGCAAAGAACCACAATTTAAATCCATATTTTGGGATATTTTGGGTATGCCGTTTGATGCCCCACATGATGCAACCGGAGGATGGAAACAACGACTGGGTTACCCCATTCACTGCTTGGTAGTCAAATGTAGCCGCAAACACAGGATGAAAAAAAAATTGGGTTGACCCCGTACATGTTGCAACGGGTGTAATTAATACCTTTGGATTTGTACACAGCAAAGGGGGATCAACAATAGTGAATAGTAGCATCTATATTCACCATACCCAATGGGAGTTTACGTACGTTTACATGAAGAGTGCTTACCACCTAGCAGTAATTACAACAGTCCCCCAACAAAAACAATCCTAAATCCGATGTCCCTTGAGGTTATTCAGACATGAGCCAGTGCTGGGTTCGATTCTGCATTCAGAGGGGCATCCCTTGGTTGCACAGACAGCTGGATTGGCCTGGATATTTCAGTGACTGGCAGTCCCTTGGAGAACCCCAAGGTGCGAATCCAGGGGATATCTAGCCAGGAGAATGGGGGCGCAAAACGTTTTTTTTTTTCTGGTTTTCCCAGTTCATTTGGGACATGCAACAAAATGTTCATGGCAATGGTCCAATTTCTGAGCGTTTTGAATCCTGTGGTACCTCAACATGTTCCTTTTCTAAGGAAGAAGCTCTACATCTGGAGGCATCAGCCGAAGATCAGGGCGGTTCCGATTCAGAGCCCCTTTGCCATGTATTCCACCGTCCAGCCTCGACCCCCGGTGTGCAGAAGCCAGCGCTTGTCTGCGGCGATACGACAATGGGGGATGGCTGGCCACTGTGAGATCAAGTTCTACCGGCCAGATGACGGGCGAAAAACTGTAGATCTGGATCCTTTGATATGTAGTAGATTCGTAGATGTTGTCATGTTTTGTTCATGGGGGATGCCCCAAGATGATGTAAAAACGGATTTTGGGGTCCATTTTGGGGTACTTTTTTTCAGACCAATCAATTTGTTTTATGGTTTGATCATATTTGATCCAATTCCTCAATGCGATCAAATTTCTATGTTTGACTGGTTGATGATTGATAGATGTGATCTTGCTACACATGAGCTTCAACTTGGAGGGTCCTAGTGCGTGCAACATTGTTCTTGTGGCCAGATGTTGCGATTCCAGCAGTGATATCCACGGTGACTTGAGGAGTGCCTTGGTGTTTGGGATGGGGTGCTGTTGCGACAGAGCCATCTTCAAGAGAACATCGATGAGGTGGAGTTCAGTCGCCATGGAGGGACCACCTGGGATCCTTTCCTAGGAGAGATGAATCTCAGCGACCACATCTTGTTTCATATCGTCATGAGAGGTGATTAAGCTGAGGCCACCCGCGCCGAACGCCCGCGCCGTGGTCGGAGAGAAAAGGGCGGCCGAAGTGTTGCGACGGGGTGGGGTCCCCCTTTGTAGCCCAACAGCCTCTGCAGCAGCCTTTTTTAGGTGGATTACGGGATATTATGGGAAGCAATTCAGATTACTTCGGATGTCTTAGAGCGTACCTAGTGGACGGCTTCTTTCTCGACCTCTGTTCGCATCACACCGTCAGGCCGCGGCCAGGACTCCTCAGACCCTGCCAGCCATATCCGTGGTTTCTCGGCGGCAGCTTGGCCCCTGGCCTGGGGATGATCTGCCCCTTGAGGCAGCCAAGAAGGCAAAAAGCAGAAAACGCCAGGCAGCTGCTTGATGTGGGCACGGATTTATACGGATTTCCACTTTTTCTTTGAAATAAATAGTGAAACATTACAGACCATTACAGTATCATTTTCAACACTTGGATGCCAAGTCATAGGAAATCACCAGCAAGAAATGGGATGAACACTGTAGCCTAAAGCCACCGCACCCTTGCTAGCCCAGCAGGTCCCAACATGTCCCAACTTGCTAGCTTTGAATGATCTTGGAATATCTTGGATCCCTAGACATGAAGTGAAACTCTGCAGGAAAGCCCTATATTACCTTATATACACATATAGTTTCTTATACTTAGTGTAAACTACATATTTTAACCATATACTGCACTATGAGAACAGGTAAAATATGTAAAAACCCTACGGTTTCCGGTAGATTCTTCCCCATCGCTTCGCCATGGCTGCCAGGCTTGGAACTTTGAAGACGACCACTATGGCCATGGCGGCCATGGCGGCCATGGCGGCGGCGGTCATGGCGGCCATGGTCTCACAGCAGCGAGCGCCAAGACGGACCTACCGAATGACGGGCACGGGCAGGAGTGGCTGGGGGCGCTCGGCATGGCGCATGGCTGGGCAGTTGGGGATGGCTCAAACCCTATCTGGTTGGTGGTTTGGAACATTTTTTTCCCATATATATTGGGAATAATTATAATAATCCCAACTGACGAACTCATATTTTTCAGAGGGGTAGGTATACCACCAACCAGCTATGGTTTTCGGTATGGAAACACATCCAGCGCCAGCTATTTTGACCAAGATGACAGGCTTGCAGCTGACTCGCTTTGGATTTGGGGTGAGACCAAATTTTCGGATGTTTACCAGGAACCACCTCATATTTGAATATATTTGATAGTCCTCTATGGGTTTCCGGTGAATTCTCAACATTTTCCCTTTTACCAACGCCTATTTTACAACTGCTCTGACGGTGCGTATAGGACATGTCCTTGCTGAGCGTCCTGCAGAAACGGCACCAGACCCTACCCTCCGCAGAGATTGGAGGGGCGCCTGAGCCAGGAGAGGCTGGGGATCTCAGATGGAGGGCTTCACCAGCCAAAATTTGGGTTTTTCCATGGTTAAACCCGTGAAAACCCCATGGGTTTCACCAGGTTCCAGATGTGGGATGTGAAAACGGGACACACCTTGGATATTTTTTGAGAGTCTCCATCGCTGCCATTTGATTTGCAGATGGTATCCAAAAGGACATGGGGATATCTCCCACAAATTTGGGGTCAGGATTGCCCAGAGAAAGATGTCACCACTGTACTCGTAACAAGGTCAATGTGGTACACTAAACCCCATCATAAACCATCCCCAAAGTCACCCATAGTCAAAGGAAGTTTAGTTAAACAACTTCTGAGTTACGGACGATGGTCGTGGTTAGCATTCCCACCATCATGTCAACCACCTCATCATGTCAACCCCATATCATCATGTCAACCACATCATCATCATTTCAAGCACCCATCATCTTGGGAAGTGTAAGAGTTCGGAAGCGTGTGAATTCACCGGTGAAACACTGTGTTTTTTTTCGGGTAATGTGGCCTCTGGGGTCGCGGAAGTAGGGTCCCTGTTTCCGGGGGCAGGCCTCGATCTGCAAAAGTTGCCAGCAAAAAGCGCACAGGGCTGTAGTGAGAGCACGATTTGCACTTCAAAATCGCAAAGAACTGTCACGTTTGGAGCACTTTTGGAAGACGAGGTCGGCAAAATGTGCACCGCACTGTAGCGAGAGCTCGATTTCACAAAAGACTGCCGTAGTCGGAGTAGCGCGGAACCGTCCCCATTGCCAGCTCTGCGCGGACGTTGGTCGATTTGGTTGTGACGCTCCTGCTTTGCTGGTTTGCAACGCCTTGTGACAAAAACGCATTGGAACGGCTGCGCGCGGCAAAGTATGGGTGATGCTGCGACGCTCCTGGCAAACAGGATTGCAGCTGGAAGTTGCTAAACGCATCATAGTAGCTGCACGAAAGGTAGTTCTTGACCATAGTGCTACGCGTGTGCCATGCGGGATTGCAGCTGGAGGCTGCTAAGCACATGGTAACCCCTGCGCGAAGAGCGGATGCTGCAAAAGAGCTATATAGTTGGGAGGCAGCCCAGGGCTGAAGCAAGAAGTGGCTGAGAGAAGAGGTGCCTCAGCAAAGAGGTCATTCAATGAAGAAATAGCTCAACAAGAAAAGTAGCATGCCCATCCGTCCATCCATCCATCCATCCACCCATCCATCCCCTAGCCATTGGTTCATTGATTCATGGCTTCACGGATTCAATGATTCAATGGTTCATTGGTTCACTGATTCATTGATCGCTGAACCAGTGATTCATTGATTCATTGATTAACCGACTCATTGACTCATCGACTCATTCGTTCACCCGCTCATTGATTCATTGATTCATCGACTCATTAGTTGATTGATTCATTGGTTCATTGATTGAATCATCGTTTTATTGATTCACCGGTTCATTGCTTCATTGAATCATTTCTGACTCATTGATTCATCTACTCACCACGTCATTCATTCATTCATTCGTTCGTTCGTTCATTCATTCGTTCATTCGTTCGTTCGTTCGTTCATTCATTCATTCACTCACTCACTCACTCACTCATTCACTCATTCACTCATTTATTCATTCACTCATTCATTCTTTCACTCATTCATTCTTTGACTCATTCATTCTTTTCCTTTCCTTTCCTTTCCTTTCCATTCCATTCCATTCCATTTCGTTCCATTGCATTCCATTCCATTCCATTCCATTTCGTTCCATTGCATTCCATTGCATTCCATTCCATTCCATTCCATTTCGTTCCATTGCATCCCATTTCATTCCATTGCGATCCATTGCATTCCATCCCATTCCATTCCGTTCCATTCCGTTCCATTCCATTCATTTTATTTCATTCCATTCCATTCCATTCCATTCCAGTCCATTCCATTCCATTCATTGATTGATTGATTGATTCATTGGTTCACTGACTCATGGATTCGTTGATTCATCGGCCCATGCATCCATTCATTGATTCATGGTTTCATTGAACCATTGCTTCATTGATTCACTGAATCATCGGTTCATTATTCATTGACTCAATGAGGTATTGCTTCATTGATTCACTCAATCACTGATTCTTTGATTCACTGGCTCACTGGCTGGTTGATTCATTCAGTCATTGCTTCGTTGCGTTGATTCCCTGATTCATTGATTCATGGGTTCATCGATTCCTTGGCTCATTCACTCAGTTCTGCAGGGTTCTTTCATTTTATCCCGTTGGCCGGTTGGCATCTCAACACCGTTTGCTCATTCGTTGATGCGCCTCACAGCTTCAATCGCTCATGGTTTTGCATTTCAAAAACTTTCCTATAGGCCATTGATTTCTTACAGTCACCTCCTAGTTTCGAAACTTCCGCCCCGGCGCGTGCCGGGCACTACCTGGTATCAGGGGTATTGGTTGCATCCTTGGGTTCCTATAATAGTTCATTCTTGGGTTTCGCGCGTTAGTTAGATTGCCAGAGGGCATCGCGAAGATTGCCGTGCCAAGGTCAAGTCACCTCGTCGGTTTCAAGGTCGCCGAAGCCTCACGGCAGGAGCGCAGTGAGTTTCAACGTGGGGAGATGGGGCAAAACGTGCGGTTCATTCGGAGTTGTGAACAGAATGGTGGGGGGTTTGACTTATACTTGTACCTAACCGGGAGATAAATCATGGGATATGACGGGGCCAAAGACGGCTGAATGAATGATCAGAAAAGGAACGGTAGAACATATAAAGGGACCTTGCATTAATTCAATTTGGGATAGAACCCAGCAGTAAGATCACATGAGCCACAATAAAGTGAGGACAGTGAAACAACAATATACAGCGGCTGATGTTTTAAGCAAACAGTGGATACCATTTGATCATTCAAACTGAGGAAACAAACAAAGTACGGGGAGCCAACGGGCAGTGAAAGGGCCAAGGTAAAGTTTGTTTTTTTTACTGTTTCCTTTGGATCCTTTGAACCCTGTAATGGGGATGATGATGCAGATGATATGGATAATGCGGATGCAGATGATGATGACGACAACGACGATGAATTAATTCGTTTTCAGTCCGATTGCCCTTCCCCTTTGGAGGACCTGCACGGCTCAGTGGGGGACGAACAGTTCCCAAGATGAACGTGAAACAGTTTCTTGAACTCTTGGAGGCTCAGGAGAAACGGCCCAATTCTTCAGGCGTGGAAGGGTTGGAAGCGCCGGCCGCAGCCACGACCAGTCACGACCCTTGGGCCCTTGGGGCGCCAGGTCGGCCAGACGGAGATCCAAAACGGCAGGAATACGTCAGCGGCCAAGGCATTTCTTCCTGTTTAATCCACAATGAATCAGCTGATCAATTAATATCAATTAATATCAATTATGCCATCCATGTTTCAGGAGAGTGACAACTCCGTGGGAAGGTAGTGACTTCGTCAATCTCCGTCAATACTTTCATTGAAGAATTGCTGATCACCAGCGCGTTTGGTGGTCCCAACGTGCCGAATCTGTGATCCACAGCTCCAGCCCAAGCCTGACGTAGCCTGACTCAGCTGATGTTGGTGTTTTTTCAACTTAGGCTTGTGCAAAGGCCATGAACAGATTGGATGGCTGGTGCAGTCACCTTCTTTTTTCCGGCCATGGCTGGATGGTATTTCATTGCCTTCGGCAAGCCCGCCGGGCACCCCCTGGGCTAATTGGGCCGCTGCCAAGGTCTTCCTCGAGAATCTGGTGCCGCCCGGTGCCCATGTCTCGGTGGCCAAGATGCGAGGAGCCGAGACTCGGCAGCACTGGCTCGACTACTAAAGGAAAATATAGGAAAATAATACCAGGACCGCACAACACATGGAGAATGTTGGTAGATAGAAGTTGTCATCATTGTCATCATGTCATGTGTCAGATATGTGTCAGATGTCCCAAGAATAAGACCTGATCAGACATTACATAATATATATATATATATTAAAGGGCTACGCCCTCTGCCGCCGACCCCTGGACACTGGAGGGTCATGCCTGCCTCTGTGTCGTAAGCATGAAATGAACCCTAAAGAAACCAGAAACTGACCTAAACAAACCATTTGTATGTGCGTTTGGCACTGTGCACATGCAAGCAGCATGGACCCCTGCAGGATGACACGCACAACTATGTGTTCTGACACTTTTTCATGGCTCAAGAAATAGGAGCTTTCGTCATTGGGCAGGTGTCTTGGGGACCTAAAGGGTTGCTCTAGCACTTAAGACCCATACCCGAAGCCCCCGTTCGTAACCGCAGTATGAAACTTTAAATGGCATCCTAAAGAGACCCGAGACGACACTGCACTGCCAACTGCCACCCTGCTCGTGTCCTCCTGGAGCCGGCTTTCGTTCTGCACCGCTTCGGTCCAAGCTGGAGTCCAAGGACCGTGTCGCAGGGCTAAAACACCATGGCAGTGAAGGACGGATTGGGCCCGCGGCCCGTATCCCAGACTGCCAAACGTCACTTTCTGAACCGACTAGAAACTAGCTCCAAACCTTGACTTTTCCTGCGTTTCTGCACTGCCAACTGCCACCCTGCTCGTGTCCTCCTGGAGCCGGCTTTCGTTCTGCACCGCTTCGGTCCAAGCTGGAGTCCAAGGACCGTGTCGCAGGGCTAAAACACCATGGCAGTGAAGGACGGATTGGGCCCGCGGCCCGTATCCCAGACCAAACCTTGACTTTTCCTGCGTTTCTGCACTGCCAACTGCCACCCTGCTCGTGTCCTCCTGGAGCCGGCTTTCGTTCTGCACCGCTTCGGTCCAAGCTGGAGTCCAAGGACCGTGGCAGTGAAGGACGGATCTGAACCGACTAGGAACTAGCTCCAAACCTTGACTTTTCCTGCGTTTCTGCACTGCCAACTGCCACCCTGCTCGTGTCCTCCTGGGGCCGGCTTTCGTTCTGCACCGCTTCGGCCCAAGCTGGAGTCCAAGGACCGTGTCGCAGGGCTAAAACACCATGGCAGTGAAGGACGGATTGGGCCCGCGGCCCGTATCCCAGACTGCCAAACGTCACTTTCTGAACCGACTAGAAACTAGCTCCAAACCTTGACTTTTCCTGCGTTTCTGCACTGCCAACTGCCACCCTGCTCGTGTCCTCCTGGAGCCGGCTTTCGTTCTCCGGCTCCAAACCTTGACTTTTCCTGCGTTTCTGCACTGCCAACTGCCACCCTGCTCGTGTCCTCCTGGAGCCGGCTTTCGTTCTGCACCGCTTCGGTCTAAGCTGGAGTCCAAGGACCGTGTCGCAGGGCTAAAACCCCATGGCAGTGAAGGACGGATTAGGCCCGCGGCCCGTATCCCAGACTGCCAAACGTCACTTTCTGAACCGACTAGAAACTAGCTCCAAACCTTGACTTTTCCTGCGTTTCTGCACTGCCACCTGCCACCCTGCTCGTGTCCTCCTGGAGCCGGCCTTCGTTCTGCACCGCTTCGGTCCAAGCTGGAGTCCAAGGACCGTGTCGCAGGGCTAAAACACCATGGCAGTGAAGGACCCCAGACTGCCAAACGTAATTTTCTGAACCGACTAGAAACTAGCTCCAAACCTTGACTTTTCCTGCGTTTCTGCACTGCCAACTGCCACCCTGCTCGTGTCCTCCTGGAGCCGGCCTTCGTTCTGCACCGCTTCGTCCAAGCTGGAGTCCAAGGACCGTGTCGCAGGGCTAAAACACCATGGCAGTGAAGGACGGATTGGGCCCGCGGCCCGTATCCCAGACTGCCAAACGTCACTTTCTGAACCGACTAGAAACTAGCTCCAAACCTGGACTTGTCCTGCGTTTCTGCATTGCCAACTGCCACCCTGCTCGTGTCCTCCTGGAGCCGGCTTTCGTTCTGCGGCCCGTAGCCCAGAGTGCCAAACGTTACTTTCTGAACCGATTAGAAACTAGCTCCAAACCTTGACTTTACCTGCGTTTCTGCACTGCCAACTGCCACCCTGCTCGTGTCCTCCTGGCGCCGGCTTTCGTTCTGCACCGCTTAGGTCCAAGCTGGAGTCCAAGGACCGTGTCGCAGGGCTAAAACATCATGGCAGTGAAGGACGGATTGGGCCCGCGGCCCGTATCCCAGACTGCCAAACGTCACTTTCTGAACCGACTAGAAACTAGCTCCAAACCTTGACTTTTCCTGCGTTTCTGCACTGCCAACTGCCACCCTGCTCGTGTCCTCCTGGAGCCCAGACTGCCAAACGTCACTTTCTGAACCGACTAGAAACTAGCTCCAAACCTTGACTTTTCCTGCGTTTCTGCATTGCCAACTGCCACCCTGCTCGCGTCCTCCTGGAGCCGGCTTTCGTTCTGCACCGCTTCGGTCCAAGCTGGAGTCCAAGGACCGTGTCGCAGGGCTAAAACACCATGGCAGTGAAGGACGGATTGGGCCCGCGGCCCGTATCCCAGACTGCCAAACGTCACTTTCTGAACCGACTAGAAACTAGCTCCAAACCTTGACTTTTCCTGCATTTCTGCACTGCCAACTGCCACCCTGCTCGTGCCCTCCTGGAGCCGGCTTTCGTTCTGCACCGCTTCGGTCCAAGCTGGAGTCCATGGACCGTGTCGCAGGGCTAAAACACCATGGCAGTGAAGGACGGATTGGGCCCGGCCCGTATCCTAGACTGCCAAACGTCACTTTCTGAACCGACTAGAAACTAGCTCCAAACCTTGACTTTTCCTGCGTTTCTGCACTGCCAACTGCCACCCTGCTCGTGTCCTCCTGGAGCCGGCTTTCGTTCTGCGGCTCCAAACCTTGACTTTTCCTGCGTTTCTGCACTGCCAACTGCCACCCTGCTCGTGTCCTCCTGGAGCCGGCTTTCGTTCTGCACCACTTCGGTCTAAGCTGGAGTCCAAGGACCGTGTTGCAGGGCTAAAACACCAATGCAGTGAAGGACGGATTAGGCCCGCGGCCCGTATCCCAGACTGGCAAACGTCACTTTCTGAACCGACTAGAAACTAGCTCCAAACCTTGACTTTTCCTGCGTTTCTGCACTGCCAACTACCACCCTGCTCGTGTCCTCCTGGAGCCGGCTTTCGTTCTGCACCGCTTCGGTCCAAGCTGGAGTCCAAGGACCGTGTCGCAGGGCTAAAACACCATGGCAGTGAAGGACGGATTGGGCCCGCGGCCCGTATCCCAGACTGCCAAACGTCACTTTCTGAACCGACTAGAAACTAGCTCCAAACCTTGACTTTTCCTGCGTTTCTGCACTGCCAACTGCCACCCTGCTCGTGTCCTCCTGGAGCCGGCTTTCGTTCTGCACCGCTTCGGTCCAAGCTGGAGTCCAAGGACCGTGTCGCAGGGCTAAAACACCATGGCAGGGAAGGACGGATGGGGCCCGCGGCCCGTATCCCAGACTGCCAAACGTCACTTTCTGAACCGACTAGAAACTAGCTCCAAACCTTGACTTTTCCTGCGTTTCTGCACTGCCAACTGCCACCCTGCTCGTGTCCTCCTGGAGCCGGCTTTCGTTCTGCACCGCTTCGGTCCAAGCTGGAGTCCAAGGACCGTGTCGCAGGGCTAAAACACCATGGCAGTGAAGGACGGATTGGGCCCGCGGCCCGTATCCTAGACTGCCAAACGTCACTTTCCGAACCGACTAGAAACTAGCTCCAAACCTTGACTTTTCCTGCGTTTCTGCACTGCCAACTGCCACCCTGCTCGTGTCCTCCTGGAGCCGGCTTTCGTTCTGCGGCTCCAAACCTTGACTTTACCTGCGTTTCTGCACTGCCAACTGCCACCCTGCTCGTGTCCTCCTGGAGCCGGCTTTCGTTCTGCACCGCTTCGGTCTAAGCTGGAGTCCAAGGACCGTGTCGCAGGGCTAAAACACCATGGCAGTGAAGGACGGATTAGGCCCGCGGCCCGTATCCCAGACTGCCAAACGTCACTTTCTGAACCGACTAGAAACTAGCTCCAAACCTTGACTTTTCCTGCGTTTCTGCACTGCCAACTGCCACCCTGCTCGTGTCCTCCTGGAGCCGGCTTTCGTTCTGCACCGCTTCGGTCCAAGCTGGAGTCCAAGGACCGTGTCGCAGGGCTAAAACACCATGGCAGTGAAGGACGGATTGGGCCTGCGGCCCGTATCCCAGACTGCCAAACGTCACTTTCTGAACCAACTAGAAACTAGCTCCAAACCTTGACTTTTCCCGCGTTTCTGCACTGCCAACTGCCACCCTGCTCGTGTCCTCCTGGAGCCGGCTTTCGTTCTGCACCGCTTCGGTCCAAGCTGCAGTCCACGGACCGTGTCGCAGGGCTAAAACACCATGGCAGTGACGGACGGATTGGGCCCGCGGCCCGTATCCCAGACTGCCAAACGTCACTTTCTGAACCGACTAGAAACCAGCTCCAAACCTTGACTTTTCCTGCGTTTCTGCACTGCCAACTGCCACCCTGCTCGTGTCCTCCTGGAGCTGGCTTTCGTCCTGCGGCCCGTAGCCCAGAGTGCCAAACGTTACTTTCTGAACCGATTAGAAACTAGCTCCAAACCTTGACTTTACCTGCGTTTCTGCACTGCCAACTGCCACCCTGCTCGTGTCCTCCTGGCGCCGGCTTTCGTTCTGCACCGCTTCGGTCCAAGCTGGAGTCCAAGGACCGTGTCGCAGGGCTAAAACACCATGGCAGTGAAGGACGGATTGGGCCCGCGGCCCGTATCCCAGACTGCCAAACGTCACTTTCTGAACCGACTAGAAACTAGCTCCAAACCTTGACTTTTCCTGCGTTTCTGCACTGCCAACTGCCACCCTGCTCGTGTCCTCCTGGAGCCGGCCTTCGTTCTGCACCGCTTCGGTCCAAGCTGGAGTCCAAGGACCGTGTCGCAGGGCTAAAACACCATGGCAGTGAAGGACGGATTGGGCCCGCGGCCCGTATCCCCGACTGCCAAACGTCACTTTCTGAACCGACTAGAAACTAGCTCCAAACCTTGACTTTTCCTGCGTTTCTGCACTGCCAACTGCCACCCTGCTCGTGTCCTCCTGGAGCCGGCTTTCGTTCTGCACCGCTTCGGTCCAAGCTGGAGTCCAAGGACCGTGTCGCAGGGCTAAAACACCATGGCAGTGAAGGACGGATTGGGCCCGCGGCCCGTATCCCAGACTGCCAAACGTCACTTTCTGAACCGACTAGAAACTAGCTCCAAACCTTGACTTTTCCTGCGTTTCTACACTGCCAACTGCCACCCTGCTCGTGTCCTCCTGGAGCCGGCTTTCGTTCTGCACAAACTCTTCGCCCCTTCTGGCATCTTGTTGCTAGTAAGGCCTCCTCTGACGCGCTCCCCCTGCTGACGGCAGGGGTCGGCGGATATAATATAATTATATATTTATGATGCAGCGTCCAAGCTAATTCTGTAAAGCGCATTAAAAAAAACGATTTAGCCATTTTGAAAAAAAACAAAAAAAAAATTAAAAACCAACAAACAAACAAACAAAAAAGCAAAAAAACAAACAAAAAAAACAATAAAACAAACAAAAAACAAAAAAACAAAAAAGAGCAATTGGCAAAAAAACAGCAAAAAACATTAAAAAACAAAACGAAAAAAGAAAAGAAACAAAAAACAATACAACATCAAGACAATAGCAAAACTATAGCAAACCAATAGCAACTAAATGCTTTCATACATTAATTTTGAAACAAAAGCAAAAGGGCAGGTTGAAACAAGAAACAAGAACATGCTTTATTTGCAAGCCAATCTTGCAAAATGCAGCAAGAGATAGGTTTTCTTGGGGCGGCGACGCCCAGAAGGGGGTCCAACCTCCTCGCTGACCCTACCCCGGAACCTGGCTGGGGGGATCCTGGGAGGAGGCGGGGTCAAAAATCGTTTTTTTTTGTTTTTTCCTAGGAAAAAAACGAAAAAAAATAATAATTAAAAAAAAACGATTTGGGAGGACCCCCCCTTCCAGACGAGGGGGTCCCCCCAAGTTTCCAGCCACCTTCACCACCTTCCCGGATGGAGCAGCCAAAAATGCAAAGTTTCCCCCAAACCTAGCCAAAGTTCATGTGCCCAGGCGCCTTGTCACGATCCGAGGCATACTCTTTCATCTGCAAGCTCCAAGAGTGGGATGACACTCTCAGCGAAAGCGACTCCAGGCTCACAGGCAAGTGCATCTTCTGCTTCTGCAAGATGACCTGCCAAGAAAAGGCCATATCACCAGGTAGCGGCAGATAGGACAATCACAGGCCATGCTTCAGCACAACCGAACTACAACCCACATCCAAAACACAATGAAAATCAATGAAAAAACAAATCCGGAAGTGCCCCTTTTCTTGCATTTTTTTTGCTTTTTCAAATCGCCTTTTTTTTTTTCCAATCGCTTTTTTTCTGTTTTTTTTTTCAAGCGTATTTTTTTTCCTTTTTTTTTGTGCTTTTTCAAATCGTTTTTTTTTCCCGCTAAAAAAAACCAGGTTTACAGGAGTTAGCTTGTATAGCAGACAACATAAATATATATTTATATAATATAATGTGTATAATACATATGATATATATACAGTATATATAATATAATATGATATATATATATAACTATAGTGTATTTCAGCCACAGTCAGGTGATTTTCCCAGGGACGACATTCTATGAGGGGATGGGACTCCAGCTGCCGACCCCAACATGAGGCGTTTTTCTGAATTTTTTGGCGACCCACTTGGGGATGGTACCGAATTCCGGGGAACCGGGATACTTGTGGAAAAACATGATGAAAAGTCACCAATAGTGGGCCGAAACTATGTGAACTGCGGAATAGGATGCCTCAGCTTCATTGTCACTTGTCATTTTTTTAAGAATAGGATACCAAGATTTGGACAACCACACACACACAAAAACAATCAACAACACACACTCACACTCGTGCGCACAGGCTTATTGAACACGTTGATATATTCATTGTTAACTTGACTCATTTTCATCTTCTGACATCCGAATGCCTGTGAAGAAACTAAGCTACGTGTACACTTTTCAATCGAAGCTGCAACAGCGATTTGTGCTAAGGATGAGAAGGAAATTGTCCTCAAAACTATCCGGAAAGGTTGGTTTGTTACCTCAGCTCCTTGGAATTGATGTGAGCATGACAAGTGCACTCAGAACCGTGGAATGAGATGCTCCCCCCCGAAAACTCTACTCGATACCAGATCATACCAGTGAGCACCTTCAATTCGACTTGGTCAAGATCACCGTGTGAGCACACGCAGACTGATGGCGAATAGGTTCGCCAAAGGGTCTCACTAATTGCATGCTTCCATACGTGCTTCCCAGGGACATGCTGCGCCCTGAAGTGGGGATGGGCCCAACAATTGGGGAAGGGGCCAATTCATAGTGTCGCCGTCAGCCTCTTTGGCTCAGTTCCTTGGCTGGGCGATGGTCCAGCTTCCCAATGGCACATGTCCGTTGGAGCCAGGTGCCCTTTGCGACTGTGCACCATCATGAGGACGATGACGTTAATGACGTGCAGCGCAGGCCACAGATCCGAGCCCCAAGGGACCGTGAGCAGTCCAGGCGGATCTGCTGGCCGGCAGTGGTAGCTGCTGTGGCCGTGTGCCTTTGCCTATCCATTTGGCAACTCAGCAGCCAGACGAACCACCTCCCTGAGGATGCGGAAGCGCACGGGGACGTGGAAGAAAAGCAGGAAGTGCCACCAGCAGGATCACAAGGAGGTACCTTGGAAGTGGGGCCAGGATGTCCTTCGGCTTGTGGTAGCTTTGTGGCCTGCACCTTGAATGTCACAAGTCAAAACAACAATTTCCCGCTGGAGTTTTGGCTTGCAAATATATCTTGCATATTCTTTCACTTTCATTTCCCTCCTCCCGGGGGCCAAGAAACGCTGCTGTTCTGAGGAGATCATGCAGAACCAAGGGTTCTTCCCCCTGAACCCCAATATCGAAACCATCCTCTCCTTGACGCGGCTGTTCAACAAACAGATCACTCCTTTCGTGGCCTGGATCAAATTTGTGAGGTGAACTGAGTACTGTGGAAGCTGTAGGTGGGTGTGTTCAAAGATGTTCAAAGATTAGGGGATTCCCAAGCGCATTCAGTGCGAACCTTCATAGGCCGAACAAGTTGGAGAAGCTTCCAAGTCACTTATGGCGCTTTAATGGAAACACCATTCCTACAACGGATTGTTTTTCCACAGCATGCTTCCATATTTGACCCGGTTTGGTGTTTCATACAGGGCACTTAATCAGGGCGAAGGATTATGTTAATTTCTATGTTCCTGCACAGGTATCCACAGGAAGGTGCCACCGGAAACTCTTTTCGTCTTGGTCTGGATTTCCAACAAATCATAGGACGTCACCACCTAAAGTTAGGATTCGTTTTTGTTGAAAGACATGGGGTTCTCAGGTTTCCGGAAGGATTAGTCTCTGAAAAATCAAACCTTTCTGCGGAGATGATTCACTCAGGTGCCAGAGTTCCAATGTCCCGGCACCGAGTGCTTCATTCCGAATCTTGGTAGAAAATTCCCGAGTGAAATCGCAAGATGCTCATTTCACCTGCCGGAAAGTGCTGATATTCATCATGAAGCCAGGGATAAAATTGAGTCACGTTATTGTGAATTTCGTGGAGCCATGCTAGGCCAGTGTTTAAATCCAATTCGGGCAGGTTGACGCCCCCTGCAATTTTTCCACAATTGTCTCGTTTGGGCCCCTGATATTTTGACATTTTTATTATTTTTTGGAATGATGCCTGGTTTAATCATTGACTGAGAGGATTAACCTGCACAACCGGGAGGTTTGCGTTTGTGGGGGACGACTTCTGCGATTGTCCCCTCACCTGCGCTGACGAAGCGGCGCATTCCTGCCAAAGCTGTGGGCTGGAATTCACCGCGCTGGCGCAAGCTGGTGCGAGCTGCCCAAGTTTCTGGACGTTTTGGGGCAGTGGTGTTGGCGGGGGAACAAACGCCTAACATGGTCACCGCGCCTTGAGGAGCGCTGGACTGTTTGCACAGTTCATCAGTGGCTTCAATCAGGCCATCATCATTTCATCGTGAACTCTTCCAAGGTTTCATGCGTTTCTATATCTTGATTCTTCATTTCGAAACAGCTCGAAACCCTGTAAAGGCGGCTCATTTTGAGGGTCTTAGTTCGCAATTACCATGCGTTTGGACAAAGAGTTTCTTCAAGCACAGATTTCGGACACATTTTTTGACGCTCTGCATACCTCATCTCTGTTTTTCATAGAGGTTTCCAAGTCTTTCATACAAAAAGCCAGACGTAAGTGCAAGAGAAGATCTAGTGATGTAGCATCAAGTCGGTGTGCAAGTGCAAGAGAAGATCCTGTGACGTACCAGAAACAAGAATGCTTCTTCAGAACGTTAACGCGCCCCACCCCTAAGGCTACGGAATTCTCCCGGGATTTCTTGAAAGATTCCATCGTTTTTTTTCCAGAAACCTTTGTCAAAGGTACTGCGGCAGGAAGCCAGCCAGCAAGCAAGCCAGCCAGCAAGCCAGCCAGCAAGCAACCAAGCAACCAAGGACAGCCAGCAAGCAAGTAAGCAAGCAAGCACGCACGCATGCAAGCAAGCAAGGGAGGCAGGGAGGCAGGGAGGCAGGGGGACAGCCAGCAGCAAGCCTGCCTGCCTGCCTGCCTGCTTGCCAGCCAGCAAGCCAGCCAGCAAGCAAGCAAACAAACAAGGGAGGACAGCAAGCAAGCAAGCCAGCCAGCAAGCCAGCAAAGCAAGCAAGCAAGCCAGCCAGCAAGCCAGCCAGCCAGCCAGCAAGGGAGAAAGGGAGGACAGCCAGCCAGCAAGCAAGCCAGCCAGCAAGCAACCAAGCAACCAAGGACAGCCAGCAAGCAAGTAAGCAAGCAAGCACGCACGCAAGCAAGCAAGCAAGGAAGCAAGCAAGGAAGCAAGCAAGCAAGCAAGGAAGCAGGCAATCGAGGCAAGGGAGGCAAGGGAGGCAAGGGAGGCAGGGGGACAGCCAGCGGCAAGCCTGCCTGCCTGCCTGCCAGCCAGCGAGCCAGCCAGCAAGCAAGGGAGGACAGCAAATAAACAAGGGAGGGAGGGAGGAGGGAGGAGGGAGGGAACAAGCTTAATCCAACCCGAAATAAAAATGTTAAACTTTAAATGTACGCTCAATGGACCCTAGCCATCCCTAACCCATGTTGAAGCCGGGTCTCATTGAATTCTAAACCAACCCTTTCACTTTCACTTTCACTCTCACTTTCATTTTCACTTTCACCAACCCAAACAAACCCATAAACCAACTTTAAATAGACCCTAAACAAACCTTTGCCAAACCCTAAACATCCTAACAAACCCTGAGCGTACCTGCAAGAAAGAGCAAACCAAACAGAAATAGACCTTTCCAAAGCGAAATAACTAAATAATAACCCATAAACATCCATTAGCTAGATCAAAATAAGCCACACACACACACACCCTAAATAATTTCAATCCAGCTCCAAATAAACACACTAAACCAACCAGAAATAAACTTAAACCAAAACCCCCAAGCCAAACCGCAAGAAACACTTTGAACCAATCCTAAACGAACACCTTGCCGACTTTAAACCATAAACTACCCATAAATAGACATCCTAAACGAGCCTAAACCTAACCCAAACCAACCTTAAATGAAGACCCTAAATCCCCAAAACAGAAACAACTTGAAAGAAACACCTGAAATGTTCAAACCAATTCTAAACAAACTTAAAACCATCCCAAAACAACCCCGCAAACCAACTTTAAATAGACCCTAAACAACCCCTGAACCAACCCTAAATAAACCCTGAACGTATATATCAGAAAGAAACAACAAAGTAAACTTCAATAAACCTTAGCACATCTAAATATTCCATAAACCAACTTTAAATAAACAACCAACAACTTCAACAAATTTACACCACATCTTAAATCAACACCCTAAACCCTGAATCAACATTCTAAACCAACATTAGATAAAAACTTTAAACCAACTACATGTAAAATACACCCCCCAATGCCTTAAATCTTAAAACTAACCTTGAATAATTTTCAAGCCAACCCTGAAGAAAGACACAAACAACTTTCGATAAGTTTCTCCAACAAAACCTAAACAAACCATAAACTTACGGCAAGTAAACCCCAAACAAACCCTAAACAAACTTCAAACATCCCAAAAAAACACACCCTAAATCAACCCGAAACCAACCCTAAACAAGCTTTCAACCAACCCGAAGCAAACCCTGAACCAACCCCAAATAAAACCCCAAACCGGCCCGAAATTAACACCAGAAACTATACCTACTCAATAAACACCAAACGCACCGAAAATGAACCATAATCAACCCCCAAATGAACCTTTAATCTGGCGCATGCATCTTTAGTGATTTTTCCCGAATGCGTAGCGAAGGGTTCCCGTTTATAGTCTGGGGGGGCTGGACCCTTGTTCGCCTCGAGTGTCTCGTCGGGTCGTCGTCGGGTCGGTGTCGCGTCGGCGTCGCGTCGTCGTCGGGTCGGGGTCGCGTCGTTAATTCCGTGTCTATGGGGGAAGCTGCAAAACCTCTCCCTTTCGAAGGTTTCCAAGCAGGTTGTCATGTCGTTTTGCATGGCAGGCGTGGCACTTTGTGACATTCCAACCTGTTTGATAACGTGCCGAAAGTGTCAAAATTGGAGGAAGTATTGCACGAAATGCTCGTTTTGCTGCGCCCACGTGTCTCGTCTCGAGTCTCTGGTTTTCTAGACACGTCGCCGTGTCAATGGGGGAAGCTGCAAAACATCTCCTTTTCGAAGGTTTCCAAGCAGGTTGTCATGTCAGTTTGTAGTACAAAGTAGTACTGGGAAGTGCTTTGTGCAAGCTTTGTATTACAAAGATGTACACAGTAGTACTGGGAAGTGCTTTGTGCAAGCTTTGTAGTACAAAGTAGTACTGGAACGTGCTTTGTGCAAGCTTTGTAGTACAAAGTAGTGCTGGGAAGTAGTTTGTGCAAACTTTGTAGTACAAAGTAACCAAAGTAGTACTGGGAAGTACTTTGTGCAAGCTTTGTAGTACAAAGTAGTACTGGGAAGGGCTTTGTGCAAGCTTTGTAGTACAAAGTAGTCCTGGGAAGTAGTTTCTGCAAGCATTGTAGTACACAGTAGGACTGGGAAGTAGTTTGTGCAAGCTTTGTAGTACAAAGTAGTACTGGGAAGTGCTTTGTGCAAGCTCTGTAGTACACAGTAGTACTGGGAAGTGCTGTGTGCAAGCTTTGTGGTACAAAGTAGTACTGGGAAGTATTTTGTGCAAGCTTTGTAGTACAAAGTAGTACTGGGACGTCTTACACTTTACACTCTACACTCCACACTCCACACGTTACACACTCTACTCCACACTTTACACTCCACACTCCTCACTTTACACTCCACACTCCACACTCTACACTTTCCACTCCACACTGCAGACTGGTAACAGGAGAAATATGTACTGTCTTCAAGCGATGCTTTCCATGCGTGTCTTTGTGCGTTAGTTGTCTCTTTGTGAACTGTTCACCAGGTGCCTTCGCTGAGACGATATGTGCGCACGATGCATGAGAAAAAAGGTTCCTGTTCCTATTTGTAGTACAAAGTAGTACTGGGAAGTTCTTTGTGCAAGCTGTGTAGTACACAGTAGTACTAGGAAGTGCTTTGTGCAAGCTTTGTAGTACAAAGTAGTACTGGGAATGACTTTGTGCAACCTTTGTAGTACAAAGTAGTACTGGAACGTGCTTTGTGCAAGCTTTGTAGTACAACGTAGTGCTGGGACGTACTTTGTGCAAGCTTTGTAGTACAAAGTAGCTCTAGGACGTCTTACACTTTACACTCTACACTCCACATTCCACACTCTACTCTTTACACACTCTACGCTCCCCACTCCACACTTTAAACTGCACACTTGACACTCCACACTCCTTACTTTACACTCCACACTCCACTCTCCACACTGCACGCTTTCCACTCCACACTCCACACTCTACACTTTCGACTCCACACTGCAGACTGGTAACCGGGGAAATATGTACTGTC